ACGTATGCCCAATCACCGACTGCCTCGTCAAACTATGTTTTGCGATGTAGGAATAGGTTGGAAGAAAGCTAGGAGCGGCCAGACCAAAACATGGCACAAATACATGAAGTCACTGAAAAGTGGATTAAGTCGGTAGGTAGCGCTTGGATTAGAGTAGCTTATCATGTCAATGGATCATTTGTCTTAGCTTCTTTCCGTTTACTGACTAAACTGAACTCGTAATAGTATTCAAGCATATCAACTGTTGACGTGTCATAACAACATAATGTAACATGAAGGATAAACATTAAAATGTTAATTTTAAAACAATTAAAAACTGACAACGTACAAGTGTTATCAATAGATTGATTTCACCAGTGAATTCATTTAATATACGATTTCGAACCAAGGAATGAAAACCAGGTATCCATTCTAATTTACTAATATCTGGATTTAATATAGACTGGTGTTGTCGTTGTTGTGGTAGTGACCTATGAAAATTGCCAACTCTTGGCAGAAATTCACAATTTTTTGTACATCGACCAATAGTACTACTATCACTGGGACTATTTATAATCCAAGAAGGTTTATGATGATGGATTGGTGCGGTATGATTCATGGTTACATCATCAACATAATGATGTTTCCATGGCTGTAATGTTTTCATTGCATAAGTATTAGTGTTGATAGATTTCGGATTGTGATTATTGATATAATGCGCTTGATGATGAGAATGTTTCAGCAAAGTATCACTTAATGCAGGATGTGATAAAGTATAACCATCTGGTGTTTGTACTAAGAAGGCGATTGTACTACCAGCTCCACCATTAATGGTGTCGGATGAGAAATGTAACAAATTATCAACTAGATCTAGTAAATGTACGTCGATACCCATGACACCGATGAATTTGTCCTGTTTAGAATGGATGATAATATAAAACATATACATATATACACACACAAAAAAAGTTTTGTAATAATATAACAAGTTAGTAATGATTTTTCACTAGTACTATGTTATACATAAAAACGATGTATGTGCATGCCAATGATCATTGTTTTATTTTTATGAAATATGGGCTTGAAAGAGTTGTGAATATTCGTAGGGTTATTGGTATTCGATTATAGATGTCTTCGAATCGTTTACCTCGCATCCTGGGACAACCGAGTACTGTCGTTAAGAAACGGGTGCTAGGTAAGGATGGCAGATCAAATGATGAAGTAGTGAAACTTCATCAGTGAAAGTGGTTGGGACATGTGTTGCGTATGCCTAACCACCGACTGCCGCGACGAGCTATGTTTCGTAGTGTAGGAGTAGATTGGAAGAAAGCTAGTGGCGGTCAAGCCAAAACATGGCACAAATCTATGAAGTCACCGACAAGTGGACTGAGTCATGTTGGCAGATGTAGATTACCAGGTTAGGGTCCGCGAGATGATAGTAACCGATGGTCGAAAACCTTGAATGATATGTCTCAAAATCGTTTGCAATGGCGCAGGCGCATCCACACTGTGTTTTCTCTGAATTTCTAATCTTCTGTATTCCTCATCACTTTTCTCTCCCTAAATTTATTTCAATGAATTATACTTCTTGAATAATATCTTCGAACCCTAAACATAACCTGAAGACAAATGTTTCGATTCACTTTTAAAAAGCAACACAAACTGTGTAGTATTTGTAGAGATGATTAATTTTAGGATTAAAGATAAGATTCCGTCGACACGAATTTGTGTCTACAAACTAGCTTGTGTCAATTGTGATGCCATCCATATTGTGGAGTGTCATGGTGTGAAATCTCGACTCGTTCCAAATAACACTTAAGCTACACAAAAAGACCTAATAATCTCGTAGAATTGAACAATTTACAAATTAAATCGGTAATTGCATTTCATACTGAATCGCTCTGCTCTCAAATAAGAAAGGTTTGACTATTTATCCAACCTGGACTGTTTATCTAAATAACCACATTTAGCTTAGGCGTTAGCGCACAAGATCGAAGGTCCTGGATTCGAATCCTGTGAGTAGTAGGACTTGTGGATGGGCATTGCAACTGATGAGTACCATACCACGACAAAATAGCCGTCTAGTGCTCCCAGGTTTCTAATGGTGGTCTAACAACTTATGCTCCTTCAAACACACCAATAACATTTCAAGGTTGTGCACAGAATTACCTTGACTGAATATGACATTACATTGACACCACTAATTCACACGGATTATAATTTTGATTTTACTAAAAATTAGTCGGCTTTGTTTCCCTTTTTCATTATTTATTTCAACATCAAAAGTAAAAATTTCTACTCCTTGGAATTATTCATCCTTTTATGAACAATCATTGATAAAATTTACTTATTTAATAATTTACGCCTGTTAACTCCAATGGAGCATAGGCCACCGAACAGTATTCTCCAACTAACTGTGTCCTGGGCATCCTTTTCCAATTCTGTCCAATTTTTGTTCATTCTTCTCATATCTCTCTCTTTTTCTCGGAGTAATGTGTTCCTTGGCCTTCCTCTTTTCCTTTTTCCTTGAGGGTTCCATGTGAGGGCTTGTCTCGTGACGCAGTTAGGTGCTTTCCGCAATGTGTGTCCTATCCACTTCCACCGCCTCTTCCTGATTTCCTCCTCCACTGGAATCTGGTTTGTTCTCTCCCACAGTACGTTGTTGCTGATGGTGTCTGGCCAAAGAATCCGAAGTATTTTGCGAAGACAACTGTTATTGAATACTTGTATCTTCTGGATGATGGCTTTCGTAGTTCTCCAAGTTTCCGCGCCGTGCAGTAGTACTGTCTTGACATTTGTACTGAAAATCCTCATTTTGGTTTTGGTTGAAAGTTGTTTGGAGTTCCAGATATTTTTCAACTGTAGAAATGCAGCCCTTGCTTTGCCGATCCGCGCCATCATATCTGCATCAGATCCACCTTTCTCGTAGATGATGCTAACCAGATATGTAAAGCTTTTTATGTCCTCCAAGGCGTCTCCATCCACAGTGATTTGATCAGCGCATGTTGCGTTGTATCGTAGAATCTTGCTTTTCCCTTTGTGAATGTCGCGATCTGCTGCTACACCGGTTGTCTTCTTTTGCATTTGTTGGTGCGTGCGTCATAGAAGAGCCAGATAATGTGTGAAGTCCAGATGGTCCATCTGTCTATTGTATCCCGTACTTTCCGTGAGATGTTGACGTCTTTATAATCCAGTCGATTACCAGGGGAAAGAGAAAGAGTGAAAGTCAGCAACCTTGCCTGACACTTGTCTTCACCTCAAACGAGTTTGTCAGCTGACCTCCGTCCACGATTTTGCAGCTTTAATCCATCATAAGAATTCCGTATGATGTTGACTATCTTCTCAAGCACGCCGTAGTGTCTAAAAACCCTCCACAGTGTTTTCCTGTCCACGCTATCGTCGAATACTTTCTCATAGCCAATAAAGTTAATGTAGATTGATGAATTTCATTTCATTGATTGTTATCATTGATAAAAAACATTATTTTTAGTAATTTAGTTATATGCATTAACATATGTTTGTCTACTACTTCACGTACAACAAAAAAACATTTCCCAACTCACTTGATCTACAAATGCTTGACTTATAGTCATAATTAAATCTCCACCTTCTAAATCATAATAAGGTAATGAATATTGTACAGGGAATAATAATTCATCATTTGGCGGCTGAGTTTTCACATGATCAAATAATGATTTGACAGTATTGGATTGAGTTACATCTGATGGTGACTTGGTAGTAGTAGTAGTAGTGTGAGTAGTAGTAGAAGTAGGATCAATAGAATTATTTTCAATTTCAACAGTTGCATCATCTGAACTAAATGATAAATTGGTTGGTGTAAGAAAAGTGTTACTAGATTTGCTGGTTGTTTCTTTAGAATGATTTACGTTGGTTTTGAATGATGATGATGACGATGAGGATGATGATGAGTTGAGAAAAATTTCATAGAATCTTCCTACTGTATCTGATAAATCAGTTGTACGATTAATCGGGAAAAAATGACCTATTTTCGGTGGAAAATGTTGATTGAATTGGGAAGAAGAAGAAGAAGATGTACGGGTAGTAGAGTAAGCTGACCATCTATAAAAAGTGAAAGAAAGATAGAGATTTCAACAAAAAGATTCAACTAAACACGCAACATTGTAATATCCAGTCTGTGCTGACAATTATTATTATTATTATTAAACTGAGTATTATGAAACAATCAATCAATGAATAGCAACGTAGAACTTCGTACGTACGTACGTACATCAGTTCATGTTGCCATTCTACATCAGCACACACATGTGATTGTCAATTTAAATACCATAGTACTAGAAGTAGTCAAGGTATTAACAGTTTCGTGAGCTCATACCGTTTGTTTCAGTGGTGTGAGGTGATAAACGATCGAAGAAAACGTTGGTCGAAGAGATAATAGAGTTATTAGGAAGTGTAGAAAGGATTTGATAGTGACCAATTTGGTCTGGTGTGCTTTCTTTAGTAGGAGGGCGGTTATAACTTCCTGGCTGATTATACCGTGAAAAGGTTATGGTTCTCAGAAGGGGCATCGGCCTCATGACTTCCGAAGGAACTTGGCTTTCATCATGAGACGTCATAATTCTTCGAACGGTGGAAAGACCTTCTAATCCCCAGAGCTGAGCTTATATGGTTTGAATTATTTTTTCTTGTTAGCGTTTTTATAGCAAGTTCTTTTTTTTGCGAGATGGAGTCGCCAACGCACATTTCAACCCTTCTCTTTTATCCGGACTTGGGATCGGCAGTAGCCTCGAAGGGTCTACAAGCGAAGTTGAGTAATATGAAACAGAACGATTACTATTAACAGATTTAGACATTAACACCGTTGGATGCCGGCCCAGTGGTCCGATGGTAAGGTGTTCGCCTACAATACCGAAGGTCCCAGGTTCGAATCCTGTGAGGAGGTGCGAAAGTCGTGGGTGCGCACTGCCACTGATGAGTCCCATGCAAGGACGAAACGGCCGTCCAGTACTTCCAGATTTCTAATGGTGGTCTAACAATGATTGATTGATGATTTCAAATGTGTTAAAAAAACACAAACAATTAAATGAAAATATTCTACTTTGTTTTTTTTCACACCCTGTGAAATTTACCGTGTAGCTAAATCTTTCATAAATTTTTGTTCAAATAACACTGTAGTACTTTTCTCTTCAATTGGCATATATGTATTGATGTAGACGGAATTGTTAAGATAGACATTTTGATAATACGATACAATAAGTAAAGTTGTTGATGCTTCAGTTAGATCAGTTAAATAACCACGACTTATATAGGCTAACATGATATGTTCTAAAAGAAACAGAAAAGTAAAGTAAACAAGAGAGAAACACAAAACAACGAATCAAAATCGAAAAAAATACATTCGTCAATTGATATGCTCGAAACTAATACTAGTTCACCTTAGTCGGCAGTAAACAAGAGCGAAGACAAATGATGATCCAGTGACATGATAGGCTACTACTCTAATCCGACCGTCCCAAGACCTCAACAGTAAGTAGAGGAAGACCACTTGATAAGACGTAGAAAAAGTATTCTATAAGCACTCAGAAAATATGAGGTTGACAAGTATACAAATCGAGTTTATTTATACATGATAGAAACGAGCTTGGGAGAGCCACAAAAATAGTGTACTAAAACAATACATCAACCAATGACAGGTGGGAAATGTAATCTCAAGGTAAACTGATCAGCTAATGCGCGGAAACATAAAATCCAAAATTAGGACAATTATCAGGTGAGTTCTGGTGATCTAATGTCCCCACCAAAGAGAATGTAATTTCTTTGAAGAAACAAACGTGGATCAAGTATGTTAGTCAGTAAGGAAAAATCAAATGACAATTCGTTGTAACACTTTTCGTTATTAACTTATCATCGGTGATGAAGATGCCTAATCGCCGACTGCCTCGACGATCACTGTTTTGTGTTGTAGGGTTAAAACGAGAGGAAAGCTAGGGGGCGACCAAAACAAAACATGGCACAAATCCATGAAGTCACTGACAACTGGACTGACTCATGTTAGTGGATGTAGGCTACCTGGTTGTGGTCCACAGGATAGTAGTAACTAATGGTTCTAGACCTTGAACGACATGGCTCAAAATCGTTTACAATGGCGCAGGTACATCCACTCGTTGTGTTTTCTGGAATTTCAATCTTAAGAACTCCTCATGACCTCTATCTTTCTCTTCCATCGAAAGTTGTCTCACTGAAGTATACTTCTAGAATAGTGTCTTCGAGTCTTAATCCTCTCCATTACCGTCGCTAATACTTTACTTGTTCGGGTGTAGACAGTAACTACCGGAGACAGTGTGTGAGGTTGCGTGAGACCGTGAATTGATGGAAGCTAGACATTAACACCGTTGGATTCCGGCCCAGTTGTTTAGAGGTTAAGGCGTTTGCGCACAAGACCGAAGGTCCTGGGTTCGAATCCTGCAAAGTGCAGGAGTCGTGGATGCGCACTGCCACTGCTGGTGAGTCCCATACCAGGGCAAAACGACCATCCGGTGTTTTCAGGTTTCTAATGCTGATCTAACATTGATCGATTCATGATTTTAAATGTGTAACTTAACAATCTTCACAACCAAGTATAATGTGTAATTGTAAGAACTATCAGTTATCCATCATAGAAAAAAGAAAACTGCAACGCAAAATAAAAAAGAAAAACATCAAATACCTGGGATATCATCAGATAACAAATTTTTATTTCGGAAATGTTTCAAATTTGAAACAATTGTTTGAAATGCATGTTTAAATGCTTTAATATGATTTGTTTTAATCGGTAATGGACGATTGATACTGTGAATAAATTGATCCAAATACTGAAACAAAGCAGAAAAATAATCAAACAGACAAAAATTATTCATTTCCTTTAATAATGTTTTAGTGAATCAACAACTTTTTGTTATAAGCCTTTGTTATAATTCTCTCTTTATATTACAACCCAGCTATTCCTCCAGGAGAAAGAGAAAAGGTGAGAGTAAACAACCTTGCCTGACACCGGTCTTCACCTCGAAAGAGTCTGTTAGCTGTCCTCCGTGTACGATTTTGCAGTTGAATCCATCATAAGAATTCCGTATGATGTTGACTATTTTCTCAGGCACACCGTAGTGTCGAAGAAGCCTCCACAGTGTTGTCCTGTCCACGCTATCGAATGCTTTCTCGTAGTCGATGAAGTTGATGTAGAGTGGTGAGTTCCATTCAATTGATTGTTCCCCAATGATCCGTAATGTAGCAATTTGGTCAGTACATGATCGATCCTTACGAAATCCGGTCTGTTGATCTCGAAGTTGGGCGTCTACAAAGTCCTTCATTCTGTTTAACAATACCCTGTTGAAGACTTTGCCTGGTATTGAAAGAAGAGTGATGCCTCTGTAGTTCTCACACTTGCTCAGGTCGCCTTTCTTTGGTATTTTGATCAGGTATCCTTCTTTCCAATCTGATGGTACTTGTTCCTCATCCCAAATCTTCTTGAAGAGGATGTGAAATATTTTCGCAGTTGCTGCCACATCTGCTTTCATTGTCTCTGCTGAAATGTTGTCTGGTCCTGCTGCTTTGCCGCTCTTGATTTGTCTGATGGCCAAACTGATCTCCTCAATCGTAGGTGCGCCAATATTAATTGGGAGGTCCGTGGATGCTGCTTCGCTGTAGGATGTGTTCAGTGGAGCTGGTCATATGTGATTAGTTAACAATGTGAACAGTAAAATTCGCAAGAATTTTTTTAAATGGACTTTATTTTATGTTTTCTACTTGATATAACGCCAAACCACTGTACTAATGACACACCGAATGTTAGACTCCCACCGTTCAAAAATAAGAAGACGGAAGACGTTGGAGAACACTTATTAACAGAATCAAAAATATACAATCAAACATGCGTATTTATACAATTATATAAATGTCGTTTAATATTTTGAACATGAATCAAATAGTTCATCGATCCACCATGTGCGTGGCTTTCTTGTCGATTGGCCATCCCAACGCTTTACAATCAAACAGACTGTTAGATTTAGTCAGTTAGTTACAACGTACAACTTGGTATGTACGTACATACACACATCGGTTCAAGTTGTCATAACACATTAGCATACGTAGAGATCCGATTGTGTTGGGGATGTTAGATCCCCAAAACTCGCTTGATAAATGTCTTACTTTGGATTTCACGTTTGCGAGCATGAGCTGATCAGTCTACCTTGAGATTTCATTTCCCATCAGGAAAATCCATGGCTGTGATTAGCTGCTGTGTATTTTAGTGTGTTATTTTTGTGACTATCCCACTAGGACGTTTCTATGATGTATAAATAAACGAGAGTTGTGTGCTTGATTTTATTGTGATTGCTAGGTGTTTGTAGAATATACTTTCTACGCTTACAAATCCTTTTATCTTCAGCTTGGGATTCAAGGTAGCCTACCTGGACGCGGGTAATTGTATCATTCGTGTTTATCGACTAAGGTGAACTCGTAATAGCTTCAAGCGTACTTAGTGACGAACATAACAAATTGTCAATTGAAATCCAATAGTAGTAGGAGAGATATCAGTGAGAATGGAAAAGACTAGGTATCAAAAATATGATTTCAGCAGTATAATCCCAGTGGAATCAATTTAAAACGACAAAAAAATGTCATGAAAGAATTCGGAAGATTAGAAGTTGACAGAACACAAACAATGGATACATCTGCGCCATTGCAAACGATTTTCAAACACGTCATTCAAAGTCTCTAACCGTCAGTTGCTATTGTAGTCTATTTTTTTAACAACATAACTCAGTTCAGTCAGTCAGTCAGTTGCAACGTAGAACTTCGTACGTATGTACATAAGTTCATGTTGTCATACCACATCAGCACAGAGATATAATTGTCAATTCAAATCCAATAGTAGTAGAGGTAGTAAAGGTATTAGCAGTAGACGGAGAGGTTAGGATTAGATATTATTCAAGAAGTATGATTCAATGAGATAGGTTTATAAAGTCAAAACTAGAGGTGTTGAAGAATCCAGAAGATTAGGATTTGAGAGAGCACAACAAATGGATGCACTTGCGCCACGATTTTGAGCCATATCGTTCAAGGTCTCTAACCATTGGTGACTATCGTCTCGCGGACCCTAACCAGGTAGCCTACATATAACAACATGACTCAGTTCACTTGTAAGTGACTACATGGATTTCCGCCATGTTTTGGTTTGGCCGCCCCTAACTTTCTTCCAACCTACTCCTCTACACCACAAAACATAGCTCATCGAGGCATTCAGTTGTTACATGACTCAGTTCACTTGTCAGCCAACTTCATAGATTTGTGCCATGTTTTTTTAGTAGTTCGGTCACTACTAGCTTTCTTACAGCCTACCTACCCTTGCATTGCAAAACAAAGTTCTTAGAGGCAGTCGATGGTTAGGCATACGGAACACATGTCTGTTCCAACCGCCTCAACACACATCCCAACAATTTGATAGTTAAACTCAAGTCAAATGAATCCATGAAACAATAATTATCTAGTACGTTTCACCTAATTCACATTTTTTACGTTCAGATTGAGAAGGGGGATGGATATTCATAGTAATTAATCAACTGTAAAGCACTTCTTAAACCAATAGGCAAGATAAAGAGATATTACGTTATTACTCGCATACACCTCCTCCTCCTTCTCAAGCAATGAAACCAAATCAAAATAACATTACCAATTTCATTTCTTCAGTAGCTTTATGTGCAATCCCATACGATGATTCATTATTCCACTGTAGATTATTGTTGAACAGATTCTCACTTGAATTATTATTTAATATCTCAGATGGAATTGATAAATTTAATTGAGTCGGATTATTATTTTCAACTGTACTCAAACCATGAGAAACATTGTCTGATACAAGTAACACGTTGATATAATCTTTTTCACTTAATGACATTAATAGTAAATGTGCAACACGTTGACCAAGTAGTAGTTGAGTTTGACTTGCTTCACCTTGATCTAATACAATAATCATCCATATTGGTTTTGGCAGAATTGATCGAATGAATACATCCCTAAGCATTGATTGATTGAGAAATAAGAATATTAATATTAATAATAGTAATTATAATAATAATAATAATAATGGTGAGTAACAATAAGCAAACAATCACTTAGGAAAACCACATCGTAAACGCTGAATTTGCATATCTTCAATCCATCATCAATCCATTGTCTGACAGTTCACTTTTCATGCGTTTCATACAACTTCCATTGTGTTCCCACTTTTCTTCCTTTCTTGATCTTCCCCCATCTTCTTCTGCCAGACATTACGTTTACACACGCTTCATATACTACTTATAAGTAGCGCGCACCACACTACTATTACTATATTGAGTATGCTTTCAGAAACTTCCGGAGGCAAAAAGTCATGTGTAACTATATATCTGAAATCATCAATCAATCATTGTTAGACTATCATCATCAGAAACCTGGAAGCATTGGACGACCCTGTCGAGTGTAGGCAGTAACTATCAAAGACAAATGGGTGACGTTGAGCAAAAAAATATGTAGATTGATGAGACTTACGCTTAACACCGTTGGATGCCGACAGTGGTCCAGGGGTTAGGCGTTTGCGCGCATGACCGAAAGTCGTGGGTTCGAATCTTGCGATGTGCAGCAGGAGTCATGGATACGTACTACTGTAGAGTCTCATACCAGGACGAAACGGCCGTACAGTGCTTCCCGGTTTGTAATGGTGGTCTTGTGGTGCGAGCTACTTATAAGTAGTATATGACGTGAGTGTCAACGTAAAGTCTGGTAGCATAATATGGGGGGAAGATCAAGAAAGGAAGAGTTAGAAAACAATCGAATTTGTATGAAACGCATGAATAGTGACAATGGATTGATGTTTTGCAACAGGAACAGTCCAGTTCGATATGATGAACTGATATTTTGCAAATTAACGATTTACGATATGGTTTTCCTATTTTACTGATTAACTCTGTAATTTTCGTTAAATACAATTCGGTTTCCCCACTTGTGTTCTTGTTCACTACAGTCTAACAATGATTGACTGATGATTTTAGATATTCATATAGTTAAACATGACTTTGTGCCTCTGGAAGTTTCTGAAAGCATACTCAATGGTAGTAGTAGAATTAGGTATACAAGCAGAAACGTCACTCCTCACTTTCTAGATGTTTGTGAAAAGCTTTTGTTCAACATTGATTGGCGAGAATGTCTCCGAGTGTTTTCTGGATACCTACTGGAAATTTTTGCGAAGAATACTTTCGAGCTCTGAAACAATCATTAATCTAGTGAACACATCAAATGATAGTTGTTGTTGTTGCTGAATGGCTATAGTGAATGATCAAACGTCAAAATCATTTTACTTATGAAATGTGTTAAAAACAAACGGTTGTATCTTACACGACTATAACTTCCTCCATTGTAACTGTTTGAATAAAGGATCGACAAGGATAAACTTTATTTATTCAATTAGAGTTGTGGAGATGAGTGTTTTTACACAGTCAATCAGTGTTAGACCATCATCAGATGAGTCATCCCATACCAGGACGAAATGGCTGTCTTTCAGTGCTTTCAAGTTTCTAATGGTGGTAATCTAACAATGATTGATTGATGATTTCAAATGTGTGAAAACACTAATCTTCATAACTCTAATTAAAAAAATCATTAATGGTGCTCAGTGGTGACTAGCTTCGTGAGGAAATTCTCGGAGTTCTAGTTAGAAGACGTCGTGACCAGTGGAGGAGTTCAAACCTGTCGCGTATAGGTTGTAACTACCAAAGACAAATGGGTGAGGTCGCGCAAAAAAACCCACGATTGATCAGAGATAGACATTAATACCGTCCGTCCAGAGGTTAGACGTTCTTGCTCAAGACCGATGGTCCCGTGTTCGGATCCTGTGAGATGCACGTGTCGTGGATGTGCACTGTTGATAAGTCCTATACCAGTATGAAACGTCGGTCTAGTGCTTCCAGGTTTCTAATGGTGGTGTAGTGAAGGAGAACACAGGTGGGGCAACCAGATTGTATTTAACGAAAATTACAGAGTTAATCAGTAAAATAGGAAAACCATATCGTAAATCGTTCATTTGCAAAATATCAGTTCATCATATCGAACTGGACTGTTCCTGTTGCAAAACATCAATCCATCGTCACTATTCATGCGTTTCATTCAAATTCCATTGTATTCCCACTCTTCCTTTCTTGATCTTCGCCCATCTTCTGCTGCCAGACATCATTACGTTGACACTCACGTCCTATACTACTTATAAGTAGCTCACACCACACTGGCACATTATACATAATCCATTTTACAAAAATTATGGTATATACACAAACCATGAGAAGAAACAACCAAAAAACAAATTTACCTATGTCGAAATTGATGTAAATTATGACAATGATAAAGATAAGCAGCTGACGCGAAAGAATTCATAGTATATGGATAAAATTTAGATTTCATAGAATTATATGGACTAGGAATGCTCATACTACTACTACTACTTATATAATTAATAGTAGTATCAGAATAAGATTGAATATTCATAGCATAATCTGTATTTTGTTGTATAGTAGTAGTAGTACATTGAAAATTATGCGCTGGATATTCTGTGTGTAAACCATTAGAAGTGATGAAAAAAAACCATTTAACATTTGGCCAATAACTGGATTGTTGTTGAAATCGACGTGTTAAATTATGTCCAGGATTAAATGCAGTCGCGGGTAAATAATGTGGTATAAGGTCACAACATTTACGTCGTGATATACTACAACCATAGTTAAGATCATATCTGGAAAGAAGAAGAAGGAAAAATAATGATGATGAAGTATACATTTTTATTTTATGTAACAGTTGTTTAACAAGATTATTTGAGAAATTTTTTTCTGATGATTATAGTTTACTAAAGCATCAATGCGCATTAATTACAAAACTTAATCTTTCATGGTGTTCTCCGAATTCTGACAGATGTAGAACTCGTTTTTCACCTCGTCTGAACTGCAGTCAGTGGGGGCGTAGGCAGATACAACGGAGAAGCAACGATGGGTGTCCCTATCTTTCCGAGTCCTTACTGTCCCGTTCAGTCAGACGGCGCACAAACGACTATCTACAGGGATCCAGTCTAGGAGCGCCAATTCTGCCCTACGACTCAATGCTATACCTACACCAGCGAGACCCCATGAAGCACCATCAGGTTACTGGATACACGAAGAGTAATCTAGCTGCTTCTTCATTTTGACGAGGTGAAATCGATTAATGACTTTACTAGGATCCTGTATACGCGTTTCCGAGACGCAGCATACATTGATTGTGTGAGATTCTAATGTTCTAGCTAAGGAAGCCTGTTGACCTATTTGACACAATGTCCGTACATTAAATGCTCCAACATGTAACTAGAACGAGGTTTCAAAAGACCAGAGTTGACAAAAGTCAGTAAATAACCATTATACATTTTAATTCAAGCCTATTTTAGATTTAAAGAAAGGTTATGTTTTATTGATTATCGCATCGTCTTCTGCACATATCTAATATGTGTTTCATAAAATCTTCATTTCGAAAATATAACTCATAGTATGTATATACAAATAAATATATATATTTATAACAGATTATAATTTACTCTTCATATAAAAATAAAAATAGCCGAGTTCAAATAGTTTTCTGAATAATAAAAATTTACAAATTTCTTTTTTATTTATTTATTCTGTATTGTTTTTTTGTGTTAAACGTGATAAGTCACGTCGTTTTAAGAATTTTCTACATACAGGACATTGACGATTACCCTGAAATGAAAGATGAGAACAAAGCAGAGGTGTTATTACGTCTTTATGTATAACGTAATCAGTAATCAATCAATGAATGGCAACGTAGAATTTCGTACTTACATACGTACATCAGTTCATGTTGCCATACCACATTAGCACAGAGATGTAATTGTCAATTCAAATCCAATAGCAGTACAGATATTAGCAGTAGTTGGAGAGGTTAAGATTAGAAGATATTATTCAAGAAGTAGAATCTAGTGAAATAGACTTAACAAGATAAAGTAATGGAGAATTAAAATGTTTAGGATTTGAGAGAACACAAAGGAGACCGTAGCTGCTACCTTGACGTGGTGGTCGGGCTTGCCTATTGTGATGATCCAACCGAGCTATATTGGCTGGAACATATGTTCCTGCAGGTCCTACCATGCCAGGCAGGTCGATTGGAGAACGATGAGACTAAAAGCAGCTACTCAAGGTTTGAGGACGAAGTCGTACAGCTGACTGCAGAGGGGTGTGACAGCAGTAAGGTGTTTCCCTCGGACAACCAGCATCTGTAGCGATGCTGCCTTCTCACAAGGAAGGGAGGATTAGAAAAGGTCGACCCTAAAAATGTCACACCTTACTCTACCTCACGGATTTCCGTCTCCGGTGGTAAGGGCTGCCCATTAACGGCTTAAAAAAGAGAGGAGCTAATACTCAAAAAACCTTTCATAAAAAGGACGTACGTGACCGGCCTGAAGCAGTTGTCCCTTGGGCTCTGCGTTCACACTCCGAGGTCGTTAGGACCAACACTAATCTATCGTCCTTTTCAGGTCCCTCAAGAAACACCTTTCCACGGTGTGTGGGCAGCTGGGAAGTGACATCCGCCCTCATACCCGTAACAGCACACGAGACCGAATTGGTCAAAATGAAATCCTCCCTACAACCCCGAATACCTCTCTTATCTCCACGACTAACTCTACTCACACAATCAAACTAGGAGTTCTAGTTACACTAATACAGTAAGCACAATGAACAAGTTTCATTTAAATCTTAAAAACAAAACTACTTACTTCCTCAATAATATGTCGCCAACATTTAAAACAAGCTATATGCTTACAACATGATATTAATGGAACTTGTGCTGGATCTATGGAACATTTACAACACTTCATTGAAATTTCAAATATCTTTTCTGATTGGTTTGAATTCACTGCTTGACTGTGAGATACTTGAAAAAAAAAGAAAGAATTTGGATAGAACAATAAATTTATAACAAACATACATTATATATTACTGAAAATTGTATTATTACTGTATTAGAGGGACATAGACGGAATTAAAGCATGACTACGATGCTGCGCGCTGATTGGCCAATTTCATATCCAATCAGCGCCTGATGGATTCTTGGAGAACAGGTGTTGTTCGCTGCACTCTGATTGGCTAAATTTAATCAAGTCGATCACGTGAATTTCTATCCAGAAGCTTCTCATGTAAATGCTATAAATAGACTAACGTTGTATCTATTTTTGCGTTCGGCTTCTTATTTCCATTTAACCTTGCTATTTGAAATGTAATCTTTTCCTGTTCCATCGTGTTTTTGATTCTTTGGAACTTGTCCAGTGTATAGTGGTCAGAGAATACTAAGCAATAGGAGTTAGCTGGGAATTATTCAAGCAAGCGTAACAACACATTTACTTGTATGGTTCCTGTATCAATCACAGATAAAATTATAGTGTATAATTCTTCATGCTTGAATTTTAGTTAAACAAAGGATACTCTTTTTATTGAGGTACATGTTACCAGAAATGTTTAAGGCACATCATCCACGTTTGTATCTGAAATTTGACGCAACTTTAGCACTACACATTTTGTGATCCCTATTATATTAGTGATTTAATACGTTGAAATTATTCTGTAGTTAAATATTCTTCCTATTAACGCAGGAAATTGTACAATCACAATGTAGATATGAGTGTGTACGCAGTAACTATCAAAGAGAAAAAGGGTGAGGTGGCGCAAAATCCTTAGATTGGTCAGAGTTGGACATTAAAACACCATTGGATGTCAGTTCTGTGTGGTCCAGAAGTTGGGCGTTCACGGAAAAGACTAACTGTCCTAGGTTGAAATTCTGAGTGTAGTAGGAGTCATGAAATGTCTAGACAAGGACGATACAGTCGTCTTTCAGTACTTCTGTCAGGTTTTTAATAATGATGGTCTAACAATGATTGATGAACTACGAAAGACATCATCCAGAAGATACAAGTGTTTATTAACAGTTGTCTAAGCAAAATACTTCGTATTCGTTGGCCAGACACCATCAGCAACAACGTACTGTAGGAGAGAACAAACTAGATTCCAGTGGAGGAGGAAATCAGGAAGAAACGGTGGAAGTGGATAGGACACACACTACGAAAAGCATCTAACTGCGTCACAGGACAAGCCCTCACATGGAACCCTCAAGGCAAAAGGAAAAGAGGAAGGCCAAGGAATACATTATGCCGAGAAATAGAGAAAGATATGAGAGGAATGAACAAACATTGAACAGAACTGGAGAGGGAAGCCCAGGACAGATAGAGTTGGTTGGAGAAAACTGGTCAGCTGCTTCTGCTCCATCGGGGGTAACAGGCGTAAGTAAGTAAGTAAGTAACAATGATTGATTGATGATTTCAGTGTGCAACAAACACTGTTCTCTATAACTCTAATTGAAAAAAGATGAATACTGTTAACAATTCATAATTATAGGAATATATAATATGCATACACTTTTCAATATTGAAAAATAGTATGTAACCATAGAAGAAAAATATAGTTTGATGATGAATTTTCATTTTTTTTTTCTAATCAATGACCACCCACCTACCTTGATTTGTAGTATTTAAAGATTGATTATCATCTATTGCATTGAACTGAATCATTGGTAATCCAGTTAAATTATGACATAATTCAGCATAACGTTTACGATGCTCCGGTAAGATAAAATGAATAGCATCTAGTATAATATATGTACAAACAATAGACACATGATAAAGAGGGATATATACAAGCATATATATATATATATATATATATATATATATATATATATATGTAATAGCTAGAGTATATCACTGGAAGAGCTGTTGAGATATTCATCCAATATCCTAAGAGAATTATTTGTTAGTCTAATTCTATTGGTCAATCCCAACCAGTCGTCCTAACTGTCAATGTCGCATACTTCAATGTTGTTTCCTATTCGACTTAACTGTATGGATATGCATTATGTGTAGCGTTTTTTGACCCGGATCCCTAGTCCGGGATAAGAAATTATATAATAGTACTGTGGTGCGCGCTACTTATAAGTAGTATATGACGTGAGTGTCAACGTAATGTCTGGCAGCAGAAGATGGGGGAAGATCAACAAGAAATGAAGAAGAGTGGGAACACAATGGAATTTGTATGAAACGCATGAATAGTGAGTGAAATGTCAGACAATGGATTGATGATTGATTGAAGATTTGCAAATTAACGGTTTGCGATATGGTTTATTTTATTTTACTGAGTAACTCTGTAATTTTCGTTAAATACAATTCGGTTGCCCTCACCTGTGTTCTCCTCCACTACATATGTAATAGTTGGAACATATCACTTGAAGAGCTGTTGAGATATTCATCCAATATCCTAAGAGAATTATTTGTTAGTCTAATTCTATTGGTTAATCCCTACCAATCGTCCTAACTATCAATGTCACTACAAATCGTGTTTCTTATTATTCGTCTTAATTGTCAATGTCGCATACTTCAAATGTTGTTTCCTATTCGACTTAACTGTATAGATATGCATTATGTGTAATGTTTCATGACCCGAACCCGGATCATTAGTCCGGGGATCCTGATTCTCTTTTGGACTTGGACCTCATGCTTTCTGGATGCTTGTAGAATACATGTCCTACTTCTTATCAAGTCTTCTTCATTTACTCGATAAGGGTTTGGGACGTTCGGATTAGAGTAGCCTGTCGTGTCGCCGGATCCTCGATCTTCGCTCTCGTTTTCCGACTAAGGTATCAATTGACGTGTTTACGTGCATGCGTAACACGAGCATAAAAATTAGCAAAAGAATTTATACATATTTTTAGATTCGAAAATTCGTACGAAGATTTTTCAACATCATCATTGTAGTAAATAGATCTTAGCACATCTTTATGATTTTAAATAGATGACCATAAGACTGACGACAAATTATCGATTTCATAAAATCCTTAAGGATGATAACAAAACTGAGGTTATATTACAGTCTGATAAATACTAACATTTTTATTATTCGGATAATAAATCAGAATAACCACAGATTTTTTTTGAATACAAAGAAGGGATTTCAGTTTTCGTCTAACCAACGCTTAGTTATACGCTCTTAAACACTTGTATAACACTGCAAAGGTTGACTTAATATGATATCAACCTAATGATCAGTCTCAAGCAAACATCTCGTAAATAGAGTAAGATGTTAGTTAGTTAGTTACAACGTGGAACTTCGAACGCACATATATAAGTTCAGGCTGCCATACCACATTAGCGCAGAGATGCAATTGTTGATTCAAATCCCATAGTGGTTGCGATAGTAGAAGTATTAACAGTAATGGAGAAGATTAGGGAGCGAAGATAATCTGCATCAAGTATAATTCAGTGAGATAAATTTAGGCAGAGAAAGATAGAGATGATGAGGAATTCAGAAGATTAGAATTTGAGAGAACACAAAGAGTCGATGCAGATGAGTCATTGCAAACGATTTTGAGCCATGTCCTTCAAAGTCTCTAACCATCGGTTACCATCGTCTCGTTTACCACAACCAGGTATTCTACACCTACCAACATGACTCAATCCAGGTGTCAGTGACCTCATGGATTTGTGCCATGTTTTGGTTTGACCCTTCCTTCGTAAGTAGGGGAAGATGTTTGTCTACCGTGTCATCTTATTTGACCAGTGGGATTCATTTGTTTTTGTGGCCAGTTAGATATGTATTCAGCCACCCTTTCATTTAGATAACGATTGCTTCACCCTATACGTGTTCACCCACGCACATTTATTTATGTTGACTGACAGTGAAATGTGACTATCATTTACATTTTCGCACCATAGTTTTATGGAGATCGTTATTTTTATAATGAAATCATATAAGAATTGTTGTTAGACCACTATTAGAAGCCTGGAAGCACTAGACGACTGTTTCGTTCAGGTATGTGACTTATCAGCAGTGCGCATCCGCGACACCTGCCAATCATAGGGCTCGAACCCAGGACTTTCGATCTTGCACGCAAACACTCAACCTCTGGACTACTGAGACGACATCCAACGAGTGTAGGCAGTAATTACCGAAGACAGTGGGTGAGGTTGCGAAAAATCCTTAGATTGATCAGAGTAAGACATTGACACAGTTGAATGCCGGCACAGTGGTCCAGAGGATAAGAGTTCGCGTGCAAGACCTAAAGTCCCACGTTTAAATACCACGAGTAGCAGGAGTCGTGGATGCTCACTGCTGATGGGTCCCATATCAGATCAAAACAGCCGTCCAGTGCTTCCAGGCCTCTAATGATAGTCTGAAAATGATTCATTCATGATTTCAATGTAAAAATTGTTTACATATTTGAGTTTTCGATGAAACATAAACCTTAACTTTTCGATAGTGATGTGTAGAATTTCTAACTGGTTGTTAATGTAAACTTTCGTTTTAACATAAGACTATTTAAGTCACCTCTGATTGGTAGGGTAATACTACAGACTGGCTTTTGTTTCCGGTGCCGAAATTCACTTACTAACCATGTCCGAGCGGTAACCATTCCATTTTTCTCTGCTAGTGCGGCATGGCGAACTGCTTTAAATACATACTAAGTTCCACGTTACATTTTACTAATTGGATGTGATAACTTTTAAAATATTGACCATCGTGATATAGATTTTTTATTTATTTAAAATAAAATTGAAGAACTACAAAGATAAACGACCAGTACGTAGGTTGGAAGAAAGCTAGAAGCGGTCACACCAAAACATGGCACAAATCCATGAAGTCATTGACAACTGAATTGAGTCATGTTGGTAATTGTCGACTATTCAGTTATGGTCCATGAGATGATAGTAATCAATGGTTTGAGACCTTGAATGACATGACTCGAAAATCGTTTGCACTGGCGCAGGTGCATCCACTCTTTGTGTCCTCTCAAATCCTAACCTTCACAGTTCCTCATCACCTTTATCTTTTACTTTTCAAGTTTTTTTTTCACTAGATTCAACTTCTTGAATAATATCTTCGAACCCTAATCTCTCCGATTACTTCTACTACCTCTGTAGTGAACGAGAACACAGGTGGGACAACTGAATTGTATTTAGCAAAATTACAGAGTTACTCAGTAAAATAGGAAAACCATATCGTAAATCGTTCATTTACAAAATATCAGTTAATCATCATATCGAACTGGACTGTTCCTGTTGCAAAACATCAATGCATTGTCACTATTCATGCGTTTCATACAAATTCCATTGTGTTCACGCTCTTCCTTTCTTGATTTTTCCCCATCTTCGGCTGCCAGACTACGTTGACACTCACGTCATATACTACTACTTATAAGTAGCTCACACCACACCTCTACTAAGATGGGATTTGAAGTGACAATTGCATCTCTGTGCTAACGTGGTATGGTGAATTGTACTGATATACGTACGTGCGTACGAAGTTCTACATTGTAACTAACTGACTAACTGACTGATAATTCTTTCATAAAGTATACTTTCGTCACTATTTACAAAAAACCGACAACTATTCTCAACTGTTATCGTCTTACATAAATCGATATCTTTAAGAGAAGGAATAAAAACAACATTCAATCCATCCATCCAATTACCTTGTAATAGTCCAGGTACTTCTAATGGCATAAATATTCTTGATAACTGAGTGAATAACATTTCGACCGGTTGATTGGGCTGACTATTGATTATTGATTTTTGATCCAACGCTGAGGTTGTGGTTGATGTGATAGCTTGTCGATATTCTTGCATAGCTTGTTTAAAATCATTTAAACAATTGGCATACACTATTGCAGATTGATTGGTTTCATTTGATTTCATCAAAATTGATTTCAACAAAGTCATATATTTTGATGAGAAAGAAGAATCATCCAACTTTTGATTAGTATTCATGGTAGTAGTAGATTGACTAGGCGATTTGGATAGTTCTAATGAATGATTAGTTTGATTTTTTTCTAAAAGTTTTATTCGTTTACATGATTTTCGTTGTAATAATTTTTGTTCTAATAAATCATCAGAGTAGTATGAATTGAGATTTGATATAGATGTTGGCTGAAAATAGAAATATATATATATAAAATACAAAAAAAACATGACGAAAATGTAAACACCGTTGGACGCCGGCCCAGTGGTCCGATGTTAAGGCGTTCGCCTACAATGACAAAGGTCCCGGGTTCGAATCCTGCGAGGAGCAGGAATAGTGGATGCGCACTGCTGAGGAGTCCCATACTAGGAAGAAACGGCCGTCCAGTGCTTCCAGGTTTCTAATGGTGGTAGTCTAACATTGATTGATTGATGATGATGATGTGTAAGTGTAAACATTCACTTGAAAAATATTATTCACTGGAATTTCAAACAACTGTCAATCAACGGAGGACAACTGACAGACTCATTTGAGGTGTCAGGCAAGGTTGCTTACTCTCATCTTTTCTCTTTCTTCTGGTGATCGACTGGATTATGGAGACGTCAACATGTCAAGGGAAGTACGTGAGACAATGGATAGCCAGGATGCAGATGGACGATTAAGACTTACTTCGCAGATGATTTGGCTGTTTTATCACAAATGCAAAAGAAGACGACCAGTGTAGCAGCAGCAGCTGGTCTCAACATACATAAAGGGAAAAGTAATATCCTCTGATACAACACAACATGAGCCAACCAAATCACTGGATGGAGAAGCCTTGAGGGATGCTAACACCTTTACATATCTGGGTAGCATCATCGACAATCAAGGTGGATCTGATGCAGACAAGAAGGCACCGATCGGCAAAGCAAGTACTGAATTTCTACAGTTGAAAAATATCTGGAACTCCAAACAACTTTCAACCTAAATCAAAATCAAGATTTTCAATACAAATGTCAAGACAATTCTAGTGTTCGTAGCGGAAACTTGGAGAACTACGAAAGCCATCATCCAGAAGATACAAGTGTTTGTTAACAGCTGTCTACGCAAAATACTTCGGATTCGTTGGCCAGACACCATCCGCAACAACGTACTGTGGGAGAGAACAAACCAGATTCCAGTGGAGGAGGAAATCAGGAAGAAGCGGTGGAAATGGATAGTACACACATTGAGGAAAGCAACCAACTGTGTCACAAGACAAGCCCTCACTTGGAACACTCAAGGTAAAAGGGAAAGATGAAGGTCAAAGAACACGTTACGCTGAGAAATGGAGAAAGATATGAGAAAAATGAACAAAAATCGGAAAGAACTGAAAACGGGAGCCCAGGATAGAGTTGGTTGGAGTAAACTGGTCGGCTGCCTCTGCTCCATCGGGGGTAAGAGGCGTAAGTAAAAGTAAGCCAGTAAGTCTAAAAAAGGTGATATGATATCAATATATATCGTGAATGTCGTTAAACAAAATTTTTAACATAAGTTCACCTTAGTCGGTAAACGAGAGCTAAAACAAATGATCCAGTGACACGATAGGCTACTCTAATCCGATTATCCCAAGGCCTCACTAAGTAGAGGAAGTCTTGACAAGACGTAGAAAGTGTATTCTACAAGAAAATATGAGGTTCACAAGCACAGAAATCGACTTCATTTATACATGATAGAAGCGTCTTTGGGAAAGCCACAAAAATAGCGTACCAAAATAACATATCAACCAATAACAGTTACGGCTTTTCCGGGTGGGAAATACAACCTCAAGGCAAACTGATCAGCTCATGCTCGAAAGCATAAAATCCAAAATTAAGACCTTCATTAATTAAGTTCTGGGGGGTATCTAACGTCCCCAACATTATATCAACAGATTAAAAAATATCGAGAAATTTTATACAAGAAAATGTCAACAAATGTTCAGTTTATATACTTGAATGATGAACGGAAAATTCTAGAGAACTGGCAATCTATACATTTTGTAGTAAGTATTATAACACTACTTACTTGATTTATATTCTCTGATTCATGGTACACTTTATCAAATATGGATGTTGATGTTGATGATGATGAGGAGGAGGTGGAAAACGTCGAATCTTTTTTAGCCTCATTATTATTACATTCCGTAAGTTTTGATGAACTAGCAGCTACAGGATTGGAATGATGATAACTTGTTAAAAGTGTTGTTGAATCATTCAGCTTTGGACTGAATATATTCACCTAAATGAAAGAAAAGAAGTGAAATTGAGAAGACTAAGGCAGGCGAGGAAGAATGTATTATGCAAATTTACACTTTGAGTTACTTAAAAACGAAAAAACATTACAACATTGAATACTCTATTTGCACACCATCTTTGAGTCGTGACTTCCAACGCTCCATCCTTCTTCCATTCCTTCCTGTTGGTACTCCATTCACTGCTTGCTTTTGCTCCATTTGCTTTCCGTTTTCCTCTTCTGACCGTGAGACTTCTTTCATGTCCCTTCTTATACTACTTATATCGTCCGTATAAGTAGCACACACCACAAAATCAATCACCAAGTATTATTACGCCCAAAAAATGTGGATGTATGTAGGTTAGGCATCTAAGTACAATATGAGAGTCATTTGAATGATAAATGAAGATTCGTTAGTTGATGACCAGATATAATAGCAAGACACCACCTACCTGTAATTTTTCTGCAGATTATAATCTATTTATGATCATGATCAATCGTTGGTTATAATCATTCTGCTAGTTGAAGTTCTTACTCTGCAATTCACAACTGTCTTCAAATTGATCATGACGCTATCACCCATCTGTTATGCTTGAAACTATTGTGAGTTCACGTTAGTCGGTAAACCAGAGCGAAGACAAATGATTCAGTGACACGATAAGCTACTCTAACCCGATTGTCCCAAGGAAGAAGTCTTGATATAGCGTACTAAAATAATACATCAAACAATGATCTTTCGGGTAGGAAATGTAATCTCAAGGTCAACTGATCAGCCAATGCTCGAAAGCATAAATTCCAAAATTAGGAACTTTTCCAAGTGAGTTCTGCGGAACTAACGTTCCCAACACCACGTCTGATGTGGTTGTTTACTGAAGTGGCATTTTTTTTGGAGTACCTATTTGTACTTTGATCATAATTTGTTTTACGTTAAGTTTTATCTCGTATTTTGGTGGCCAGCATACGTCTTGTCCTAAAAGGATTAACTCCGCCTGTAGACCCTACTGGGCTACTGCCAGTCCGAAGCAAGGATAAAGGAGGAGGGTTGAGATTGGGGTTGGCGACCCTATCCCTCAAAAAACTAACTTGCCGAAAAAACGTTAACAAGAAAATATAATTCAAACCATATCAACTCTGGTCTGGGAGTTGGAAGGTCTTCATTTAGAAGAGTTACGAAGTCTCATGATGAAATCTGAGTTCCTTCGGAAGTCGTGAGGCCGATGCTCCTTCTGACAACCAGAACCTTTCCACAGCGTGGGCAGCCGGGAAGTAACATCCGCCCTCATAACCATTAAAGCACACGAGACTAAATTAATCACAATGAAAAATCCTAAAAGGATTAATGTAGGCAAATTCCCTGACGCTTCCGTTACAACCAAATATCAAAGCGAGCTAGAAATTTAAAGCTAGTGAGCGCTGAATTCGTTTAACCAACGCCATGAAAATGGCAGATCAGATCTCTCTTGCGACTCTGCAAAACGTTCAGTTTATCAGCATTGGGTTTCTTCAATTACGTTTGTCTACGTCAAGGAATTGTGAGTCTGATGGTTAACACAGATTCATATCCAAGGAAAGTGTACAAAGCTTAATTATTGAGAAAGCTGATGTAAGCATGCTAACTAGTTGGAAACAATAGCTGCATCTGTTAACTACAAGAAGCTGTTCAAAATAATTCTGGCAACAAATTTAACATCAGTGAAGCTAATCGGACATAAATCAGTAACATCCTACAACGTGTGCAGACGATGATTAGAATTCTTTGAAGAGTAGCTCGGTTGGTATGTTGCCTTAGCAACATCGATCAGATTGTTCAGCAATGATCCACCGAACGAAGCAGAGTAACCCAAGGAACATAAACTTCCATAATAGTTAAACGTCACCAGACCTAGGTAAACTATTCATGGCTTCTTTTTAAAGAAGCTGCAGGAGTTTCGATAAGGGAAATATTTACCAAATAGTGTGTCCCAACACATCAGAATGAAAAAAATCACTATCCTGAGCCTTAGAGAAGGCCTAGGGAAAAAATTAAGGGGATTAATTGACTATCAACTGCGTGTAAACTATTAGCTTCTGTCATACTTTACGGATTGTCTAAAAATTATGAAAGACTGATCCCGAGAAGTGCAGACAGACTATGAATCTAAATATATATATTGTTGTTGATAAAACACTCAATCAAGATTACAGAATGCTGAATACGTAAGTACATCAGTTCATGTTGCCATACCACATTAGCACAGAGATATAATTTTCAATTGAAATCCAATAGTAGTAGAAGTAGTAAAGGTATTAGAAGTAATCGGAGAGGTTAGGATGAGAAGATATTATTCAACAAGTATGATTCAGTGAGATAAGTTAAGAAAGTCAAAACTAGAGGTGTTGAAGAATCCAGAAGATTAAGATTTAAGAGAGAACATAAAGAATAAATGCACCGGCGTCATTGCAAACGATTTTGAGCCATGTCATTCAAGGTCTCTTAACCATCGATTATTATCATCTCGCGGACCCCAACCAAGTAGTCGACAATTACCCATATGGCTAAGTCGACTCGTCAATGACTTCATGGATTTAAAATAACCAAAAAAAAAATAAGAATCAAATACAAAGAAATTTGAATTACTTCAAAAGCTGACGGAAGATTAGATAGCATGTTAGATCTATCAAAAGATGATGATGTTGTTCGATTCACAGACCGTAGTAAATTTTTTCCAGTTAATGTACTAACATCTACAATGGAAGATGTAGTTTCCATTGATCTTTCGGTAGATGGATACTGTGGAAAGAGAAAACAAAAACGTGAATAAAGAGATTTAAAAAGAAAAATTATTTTTTCTTCATTTAAAGTTATGGAGATTAGTGTTATTACATGTTGAAATTACTAATCAATTATTTGAAGCCTAGAAGCACTGGACGCCTATTTTGTTCTAGCATGTGGCTGGCTCATCAATAGCGCGCATCCATTGACCCCCAACCACAGAGAAACAAACCCATGGTTGTTTGGCTTCGAGCGACTGCCTAGACTATTGATCACTGAGTTGGCATCCGAAAATCAATCTACGGTACTGTGCGATCGTCATTTATTATATTCGGTGGGTAACTCTGTCTTATACCCAACACGAATGAACTTCACTGGTCATGGCTTCTTACCAGAAATTCAAGAATTTTCTCACGAAGTGAAGTTAAATATTACAATCGTTGGATGCTGAGTAAGTGATCGCGATTTTAAGCAGTCGCGCGAGACCAAAGATCCTGGGTTCGTTTTCCTACGGTGGTGGTGGTGTCACATAGACGCACTACAGATGAGTCCCTTTTAAGGAGAAAAAAGAACCATCCAGTGTTTCCAGGTTTCCGATGGTGGTCTCGGATTGATCAGTTCACATAATTTCAATGAAACCCATTAATTTTCACAAGCACATATTTATTTTTTGCACAATGAAATCATGAGTCATTGTTAGAATGTAGCGTGTCACGGAATACGGAAGATGATATTAACTGACCAGGGTCCCTGTTTTGAAAGACTACGACGATAGCTTATTAAAAGGGGGGACGAGTGTGGTGCTGTGGTGCGAGCTACTTATAAGTAGTATATGACGTGAGTGTCAACGTAGTGTCTGGCAGCCGAAGATGCGGGGGAAGATGAAGAAAGGAAGAGTTAGAACACAATGGAATTTGTATGAAACGCATGAATAGTGACAATGGATTGACAATGTTTTGCAACAGGAACAGTCCAGTTCGATATGATGAACTGATATTTTGCAAATTAACGATTTACGATATGGTTTTCCAATTTTACTGAGTAACTCTGTAATTTTCGCTGCCCCACCTGTGTTATCGTTCACTACAATAAGACAAGAAGCATAGTGAATGTATTTACATCTTTTCGATCGATCAGGTGAAATGCTACGAAAGATCTCCTGCTAGTGCTACTGGGATATAACATCCATCTGTCTGAAAATCTCAACTCGTATCTTACTATAGAATAGTAACCATATTTTAGCTAAGCTCAATTACGATCACAGGATCGGCAAAGCGACGGGCAGCATTTCTACAACTGAATAACATCTGGAACTCAAAACAACTGTCAACAAACACCAAAATCAGAATTTTCAATACATATTGTCAAGACAGTTCTAATGTATGGAACGGAAATTAAGAAAACTACCAAAGCCATCATCCAGAAAATTCAAGTATTCATTAACAGTTGTCTACACAAAATATTTCCGATTTGTTGGCCAGACACACTATCAGCAACAAACTACAGCAGGAGAGAACAAACAATATTCCAGAATTAGGAAGAAATTGGGAAAAAGTGATGTAGCTGCATACTACACTACACAAGAAAGCACTCAATTGCACCACATGACAAGCCCTCATTTGAAACCCTCAAGGGCAACAGAAAAGAGGAAGACCAAAGAACACACATTAAGCCGAGAAACGGAGATGGACATAAGAAGAATGAACGAAAAAATTGGACAGAACTATAGAAGAAGGCCCAAGACAGAGTAGGTTGGCAGCTTATGCTCCATTGAGGGTAACAGGCGTCACTAAGTCAGTAAGCAAATTACCAGTACAATCGTTGTACTTCTACTAAAAAAACGCCTAACACTGCCATCCAATAGAATTCATCAACACAAAAAAGCATGACATTACTTACTTTAATACGCATATTACGAAAAAATTCACAAGTATCCTTGACAACAGTATCAACTTTATCATAGACTTTGTGTTTTGTACGCATCCAATGAGCTAAATTCAATTGGGCATTATTTGATGCAAAACGTTCATCACACAAATAAATCACACCATAATCTTTGTAATGACGAATTACTCTGTTGAAATCAGAAAACAATTCGAAAGGAAAAGGTATATGAAATCGTTTAAAAATATTCATAATAAGAAACAATACTGTTGAATTTGAACATGAGTAGTATGAAAATAATGCAAATTATAGGACAAGATAGTTTGTATATGTTGGGGACGTTAGATCCGCGAAACTCGCTTGATAAATGCCTTATTTTGGTTTTACGTTTGCGAGCATGGGATGATCAGTTGACCTTGAGATTTCAATCCCCACCAGGAAAATCCATGGCTGTGATTGGCCGCTGTGTATTTTATTGTGCTATTTTCTTAACTGTCTCAAGGACGTTTCTATGTTGTATAAATAAACGAGAGTTGTATGCTTGATTGTACTGTGATTGCTGGGTGTTTGTAGCATATACTTGCTACGCTTACAAAGCCTTTTTACTCGCTTTGGGGATTCAAGGTAGCCTGCCTGGACGCTGGTAGTTGTCTCGTTCGTGTACTATCGACTAAGGTGAACTCGTAATAGCCTCAAGCATACTTAGTGACGAGCGTAACAGTATGTTCAGTGAATACTTTAAGTCAGCAGATGAAATTTATCAACAGCTCATTGGACAAGATCGGCTACCCTAGCGCATTCATAAAGAAAGTATATGTTTGATGTAAAAAAAAAGAATTCAGGGAACTTTGATTTCTCAAAAAGAAGCCTTTATTTATTAAACTATACAATTCAACGGAAATGTGGCTTGCGATACTCTGCAGGACAGATTAACGAATGTAATTAGGAGAACATTCAATGTAGCCAAACAAACTTGCGTTGACCTTCTCAAGTTGACCAGCGATGTCTACCCAAACGAAGGATAGGTTACCTGAGTTGGTCTCCTCTACGTGGATTTACAAATTCAGCTGCTCCTGTGGAGATAGCTATATCGGGCGTACTATCGGGCAACTTAACCAACGAATGAGTGAACGTCTCCTACCATGGTTTATGAGAGGCCAACTTGTATTTCTACCTACCATGTGTAGTGACGTGCTCTCCATTTCATTGTGATTATTGACTCAAATTGCCTTGATTGGTTTAACATTTTCATCATAAATATTCATGTATATTAGAGTAAAGCTTGATACGATCTAATCAGAAAGAATATTGTTCGCTTATGTGTTGTAACGATCATTGATGAAGGAGTTTAATAAAGCGAGTCAATCATAATTGACCAAATAAGAATGGCCAATTGATGACCATCAGTAATGTCCAAAAGGACGAATGTATATTACTGGTCAAGAAATGGCTTCATTTTCTAAGGAGGTCGAATATATATTCACATATACATGATTCGGTAGCCAAATAAATTTTCTCATCTGCCCTTACGTACTCACTCAACCAGACAATCGGATAGGTTAGTATACATCACGTTCAGATCTGAGGTACAATATTTCATGAAACGTCCAGCAGATTACACGTTTAGGGTTATCGGAAACGGGATCTCTATCATCTTTAATACATTGAACTTATGAATGATTCAAGCCAATCAGAAGGAATCATGTCTGACTGTTAAACCTTTATTAAATGCGATAATATTGGAATTAAACATTGTTAATAGAAGAATCTGCAAATATCTCAAATTATTATCTATCTATCTATTGGGATATTCATCAAATATCCTAAGATAATTATTTTGTAAGTTCAATTGTATTGGTTAATTCTTATTGGTCATCCTAATTATCAATGTCACATACTTCAAATGTTGTTTCCTATTGGTCGTTCTCACTATCAATGTTACTTCAAATGTTGTATTCTATTCGACCTAACTGTACAAATATGTATTGTCTGTAATGTTTTATGGTCCGGATCCTTATCCTCTTCTGGACTCGGACGGCGTACTTTCTGGGTGATGGTAGAATACACTTTCTACTCCATATCAAGTCTTCTCCTTCTACTTAGTGAGCTCGGGATGCTCGGATTGGATTATCCTGTCGTGTCGCTATATCATCGATCCTCTCTCTTGTTTACTCACTAAGGTGAACTCGTAATAATTCAAGCATATCAATTGACGTGGTGACGTGCGTTCGTAACACTCACTATCTATTCATTTTATCGGCTTAGGATTGTGTATATGGTTGAGTTGACTTGTCCTAGTTTAAGAAGCATTGCTCGTATACCTTGGGACAACCGAGTAAGCAATGCTGTCGTTAGGAAACGGGTGCTAGGTAAGGATGGCAGATCAATAGATGAAGTATTGAAACTTCATCAGTTGTGGTGGTTGGGATATGTAGTACGAATGCCTAACTACCGACTGCCTCGACGAGCTATGTTTTGTGGTGTAGAAGTAGGTTGGAAGAAAGTTAGGGGCGGCCAGACCAAAACATGGCAGAAATCAATGAAGTCACTGACTAGTAGACTGAGTCATGTTGGTAGATGTAGACTACCTGGTTTGGGGTCCGCGAGACAAAAGTCACCAATGGTTAGAGACCTTGGACGATATGGCTCAAAATTGATTGCAGTGGTGCAAGTGCATCCATTCGTTGAGCTCTCTCAAATCCTAATCTTCTGGATTCGTCAGCACCTCTACCTTTGTCTTTCTAAATTTATCTCACTCAATTATACTTCTTGAATGTTATCTTCAAACCCTAGTCTTCTTCATTACCATTAATACCTCTACTATCTTTATCACTATGGGATTTGATTTGATATTTGCGTCAGTGTGCTAATGTGGTATGGCAACATGAACTTATGTACATACGTACGAAATTCTACGTTGCAACTGACTGACTGACTGTCCTAGTTTTTGGGACTCATCATCAGTAGTGCATATCTATTTATGACATCACCGCAAGTAATCAAACACAAGACCGTCAGTATCTCATGCGAACACTTACATTGTACACCACTGAGCCGGCATCCAATAGTGTTACTGTTTAACGTCACCTTAATTTACAATATTGCGCATCTTCATTCATTGTCTTTAACCTGGTAACCAACTGCCTCATATCTAACACGGTTTATATAAACTGAACCACAATAATATTGAATAAAGTTAATTAGTTGATCAAACAGTTATACTATAAAGAAAAACAAAGGTCTTTTTTTTTTACAAAGTTTACCTTCCAACAGCTTGATTCACTGCACGCCATGCTTGTAAATTATACCATTGACGACCAGTTGGATATTTATCAATTAAATTCTTTTGTTCTGTATCATTTTGTTTGGAATTTTTCAATTTTAATTTAACAACTTGTTCATCTAAATAAGCCATTTTCAATACAATCCTTGGATCATGAATTGGTGCATATGGCAAACCGAGTATCACAACACCACGACCAGCATTATCAGCTAAATCTAAGCCTTCACTTACACGTCCACGCATAACAGCGAATAGAATTGCACCACTACATTGTGCACTATTACTACTACTACTACTACTACTACATGCAAATTTTCGATATTCATTAAATATCTAGTTAAGTGTGTATAAAGGTAGAAAGTAAAAGAGAAAAAGAATATTTTAAAGTTGAAGTTAAATTTTTTTATTCTAAAAAGTAACATTATTCTAAATTATAGTTATTAAAACAAAAATCTAACGGTTGTGAACGGATCAATGTTCAATGATACGTTTAATTGAGAATAGTAACATTTCAATAAGATGATATGAATTACTTAGTTAGAGAAACGAATTGATTGAAATTGTACTGATAATTGCAGAGATTAAATTAAATGGGAAAATCATAATTTTAATAAAATCTATGGTTTTTTGGAATTATTGGTCAAATCCTATTGGTCAAAATTATGGTCTTTTTAACTATCAAAGTCAAATACTTCAATGTTGTCTCTTATTGGTCATCTGGACTGTCGTTGTCATTTCAAATGTTACTTCCTATTGGTCTTCCTAAACTGTCAATGCCACAGAATTCGATGCTGTTTCCTATTCGACCAAAATGTATAAATACGCATTATCTGTAACATTTCATGACCACGACCAAGACCAGGGCTCGGTCCCAGATCCCTAGTCCAGGATCTTGATTGTCTTCTGGATTCGGACCTTGTACTTTTTGGATGCTTGTAGAATACAGGTACTACTTCATAGCAAGTCTTCCTACTTTTACTAAATATGGGAATTGTGATAATCAGATTTGAGTAGCATGTCGTGTCACCGGATCCTCGCTCTCGTTTTCCGACTAGGTAAACTCGTAATAGTTCAAGTATATCAAGTTGACATTGTTACGTGCAGGCGTAACACATTTGAAGAGATCCAATCACATAATTGTTAGGATATTCATCAAATGTCTTAAAGAAATTATTTTGTAAGTCTAATTCGATTGGTCGATGCCTATTGGTCAATATTTAAGGTCGTCCTAAACTATCAACTTCACATACTTTTAAATGTTGTTTCTTATTGGTTAGTATTCACAGTCGACCTAACTGTATAAATATGCATTGTCTGTCAAGTTTTATGCTCCTCTTCTTTTTCTTCTGTAGAATACACTTTCTACGCCATATCAAGACATTTTGATATCGTTAGTAGGGGCCTTGGGATGCTCGGATTAGAGTAGCCATGCCAAGAGAAAAATGGCCATCCAGTGCTTCCACGTTTTTAATGGTATTCTAGCAATGATTAGTTCATGATATTCATGTGTAAAAATTTTACATTTCAACGAGGAGAATTGTATCCCAAACACGTTTGCATTGTTGCTTAGGGTAGTCAGGAGACACTGCATTTTGTCAGCGTCTTCACCATGTAGAACTATGTCATCGACATATTCTAAGTCAACCAATGAATCTCTTGGTAGATGGTCTACTCTTGAAAATCCAGACGAAGATAATTTTATATCTAGAAGGATGTGTATGACAAAATTAAACAAGAACGGAGGAAGTGAACATCCTTGACGGATACCACAGTACCTGCAGAAGGGGCTCCGGCTGGAGGTAACATGCATCAGTAAATAAGTTAAGAAAGTAGAAAGAAATGACTATGTCTTAATACAACCCAGTAAAGATAACTACATATTACACCATTACAACATCATCAATTTTAGAAATGAAAACACTAAACAATGGAATAATTGCATATAATCTGTTCAAAGTTAATTCTTTTTATCATTGTAATTCACCTGGTTAAATTGTGTTTTTTCACGTGGTTCAATGAAAATATGTTTACATTTTGATAATTTCTCATAAATATCACCATTCTATTAAAGAAAAGAAAAGAGTAACAGCACGGTAAAAAAAACGCATTTTCTAAGACATTCCATGTAATACGTATGTTCTTATTCATAAATATGTTAATTAAGTTGTAAAATTCCTAATTATACACAGATAACAATCAGAAAATCATGTCAATGTGTTCACTAGTAGTGACTAAGCTTTATGAGAAGACTTAACCAATGAGGTTTAGGATCCTGTTAGTTGTAGGCAGTCAGTATAACTACCGAAGACAAATAGATGAGGTCACACACAATCCCTTGATCGATCAAAGGTAGATATTAACACCGTTGGATACCGGCCGTCTCATCATTGGTCTAGAGGTTAGGCATTCGTGTGCAAGATCAAAGGTCCTGGGTTCGAATCCTGCGTGGTGCAGGAGTCGTGGATGCACACTGCTGATGAGTCTCACACCAGGATGAAACGACCGTCTTTCAGTGCTTCCAAGTTTCTAATAGTGGTCTAACTTTGATCGATTCATGATTTCAAAAGTGTAACTTAACAATCTTTACAACCCCGTAATGCAATTCATAAATAAGTTCACAAATAAGTTTATATAACCCCGTTTTGGAAAAGAAATAACTACAACAACAACAACAACATAGAACAACTACCTTCCAAAATTCAATACACTGTGACATAAATGCATAGGATGGAAAGAAGATCAATAGGCCAGCGGGTACAACTTCAGCTAATTGAACTGGATCCAATGTTCAACAGTTGCATAATATAACGACGATGACGACGTGGTGAAAATTCAGCAGATTGTTATTTTTTTATTTAGAGAGAAAAAAATTGATGAAAATTAATCTTAATCAAATGTAGAAATAGTTTTGCATTGATAAACAATAATAATAATGATAATATGTGGTGGATTATTTCTTTTGAAATTAGGAAGAAGCGCTGGCGGTGGGTAGGACACACATTGCGGAAAGCAACCAACCGTGTGTTAGGATATTCATCCAATATCCTAAGAGAATTATTGGTCAATTCCTATTCCTTAATCCCTACTGGTCAATTTTATGGTCGTCCTAGATATCAATGTTGTTTCTTATTGGTTGTCCTGACTATCAATGGCACTTACTTCCTATTGGTCGTCTTAACTGTCAATGTCACAGAATTCGATGCTGTTTCCTATTCGACCAAAATGTATAAATACGCATTATTTGTAACGTTTTATGACCACGACCAGGACCCAGTCCCGGATCCCTAGTCTGGGTTCCTGATTCTTTTCTGGACTTGGACCTCGTACTTTCTGAATGCTTGTAGAATACAGGTTCTACTTCATATCAAGTCTTGTCTTATTTTTTACTCAATATGGGGGTTGGGATAATCGGACTTGAGTAGCATGTCGTATCGCCGGATCCTCGCTCTCGTATTCCGACTAAGGTATACTCGTAATAGTTCAAGTATATAAAAATGACGTGTTTACGTCCAGGCGTAACACTGTGTCACACAAGACAAGCCCTCACTTGGAATCCTCAATGCCAACGAAAAAGAGGAAGGTCAAGGAACACACATTACGCCGAGAAATGGAGAAAGACATGAGAAGAATGAACAAAAATCGGATAGAACAAGAAACGAAGGCCCGGAATAAAAAGTAGGTTGGAGAATACTGGTCGGCGGTCTATTGGGTTTAACAGGCGAAAGTAAGTACTTAAATAAGCAATGGTTTTTAATGCTCCTGATATTGCTAAGTTGAACACATGAATTAAGTAACAATAATTACAGTTTTAAATATTGGCACCTTTTTGTAGACATTTCCGACTATGACTACTACACTGACATGGTATTAGCCTAGCATGATGGCATATTTGCTAAAATACTTGTTTAGTTACATTCTACCAAGATCAGCAGGGTCAGTTGGGGAGACCTAAAACTAAAAACAGCTAGAGGCCCAGGTCACATTAATGATTGTACGACGTGATAAGCCTAGTGTTTGCTTCCGACTGGCAGTACATATAGATATTCAGCTATGTTTCCTAACCACAACGTTTGAGATAGGTTAGAAAAAAAATTGTAGGCCATAAAAAACAGAATACTTCAATTTGACTAATAGAAAAGAAGTTAACATATAAAAAACATCTCACAAAAATAGCCATATGTAACTGGACTACAACAGTAGTTGTTCTCTGCGATTTAGCAGGATACGCCTGAGTCATCAAGACCAACTCCAGAGAAGCTCCATGTATAGGCAGTTTTAGTAAAGAAAAAATATCCTTACACAGTTTTATAACTGCTTTGTTGCATCTAACAGCATTAAAATAAATTATCATGCTGATTAGATTATTATTTTTTTCACTTTCAAAATTTCATCTACATGGTTTAAGTACTGTTAGGATATTCATCAAATATCCTAAAGAAATTATTTTGTGCGTCCGATTCTATTGGTCAATTCCTATCAGTCAACATTTAAGGTCGTCTTCTTAAATTATCAAGTTCACATACTTTTAAATGTTGTTTCCTATTGGTTAATATTCACAGTCGACCTTACAGTATAAATATGCATCGTCAGTAAAGTTTTATTCTCCTCTTCTACTTCTTCGGTACAAAACCTCATATTCTTCGGGTGCTCATAGAATACACTTTCTACACCATATCAAGACTTTTTATATGGGCCTTCGAACGCTCGGATTTTAGTAGCCCATCCTGTCACTGGATCACTTGTCTTCGCTCTCGTTTACCGACTAAGGTGTACTCGTAATAGCATTCAAGCATATCAATTGACGATTATCACAGGTACAAAGCTAATTTTTTTTAGTTGATACTAATCAATTGTGTATACTTTCTTCAGGATATTATCGCCAATTCACTACTCATTGTAAGAAGATTTTTGTGGATGGAATTATTTCCATTCCTATTAGCATCATCAAATGTTTTAAAACTCAACATCTATTCTTTTGTACTCTATTATGTCATTATCAAAACAATCAATTCGAAAGTGCTCCGTTACAACTTCGTACAAAGTATGGTCGCACTTTTTCCCACTGCTACGGGTGTGGTGCGCGCTACTCATAAGTAGTATATGACGCGTGTGTAAACGTAATGTCTGGCAGCAGAAGATGGGGAAAGATCAAGAAAGGAAGAGTGGGAACACAAAAGAATTTGTATAAAACGCATGAATAGTGACTGAAATGTCACACAATGGATTGAAGATTTGCAAATTAACCGTTTACGATATGGTTTTCCGATTTTACTGAGTAACTCTGTAATTTTCGTTAAATACAATTCGGTTGTCCTCACACCTGTGTTCCCCTTCACTACAGATGGAGCTCATTCACAAATTCCGCAATTTGTGTTGTGTATAAATCATTTAGGTGCCCCCTTGGAACCAATAACATTTTTCAACGAAATATTATCAACCTCAACGAAAACTTAATTCTATCATAAAACAGAGTGAGTGAGTATTTTGTAAACATGAAAATTATACATATATAAATATATACAAAACATTATTCACATACTTAATAATAAGCCTAATGAATTTCGATAGGCCGACGTTTCTCGTACAGAATAAGTAGCATTTAATTTCTCACCATCTGGTCCACGTGGTATAATGGCTACATTCAATTGATCGGCATTGATTACATGTGGATTACATAATGTGATAGGAAATTTCCTTTAAAGTAAAATAAAGTTGAGATTATTTACACAAAAAAAGAATCAATTTCACTATTTTAATTTGAAAACAGAAAGTCAGTCAGTCAGTTACAACGTTGAACTTCGTACATGAATACATAAGTTCAGCGTTGCTATACCGCATCAGCATAGAGATGCAATTTTTAGTTTAAATCCCATGGTGTTAGAGAGAGTAGAAACATTAGCAGTAATGGAGAAGATTACGGTTCGAAGATATGATTCGAGAAGTATGATTCAGTGTGATAACTTTACAATGTTTTGGTTTGGCCGCCCCTAGCTTACTTCAAACCTATTCCTACACCACAAAACATAGCTCGTAGAGGCACTCGAAGGTTAGGCATTCGTAACACATATTCCAACTACCTCAAATGATAAAGTTTCATTACTTCATCAACTGATCTTCCATCCTTACCTAGTACTCGTTTCCTAACGACAGCATTACTTATTCAGCTGTCCCATGAAATACGAACAATGCTTCCAAGACATCTATAATCGAATACTAATAGCCTACGGATGTCCTCTACTTTTAACGGCCATGTTTCGCATCCATATGGCAGAACGGAGTGAACTGATGAGCTGCACACTCGTCCTGTGGTTAGCAAACGGATATCTCGCTTGCGCCATAGGTGACGCAAGTTGGCAAGTGCCAGTCGAGCCTACTGTAACCATGCTGAGATTTCGTCAGTCACCAGGCCATCAGCACTGATCAGACTCCTCAGATAAGTGAAGCGGTCTATACGCTCAACTAATTTAGTCCCTACAAAACAGAAAGATAGATATATCTATAAAAATTATGAACATAAATAACCTTGAAATAATGAATCAATAAATGTTAGACCACCATTATAAGAAATCTGGAAGCACTGAAAGACGGCCGTTTCATCCTTGTATGGAAGTGATCAGCAGTATGCGCATTCACGATTCCTGCACGTCGCAGGAGTCGAAACCAGGAGCTTCAGTCTTGCATGCGAACGCGCAGTATCTGGACCACTGTGAGACGGCGGCATCGGATGATGTTAATGTTTAACTTTGGTCAATCCACGGTTTTGGCGCAATCTCTCTCATACCAGGAAGAAGTGGCCGTCTCTCAGTGCTTCCAGGTTTCTAATGGTGGTCTAACAACGGCGATCGATTTATGATTGCAAAAAAAATATTGTTCCATCAAACAAAGAGTAATATTAACACAGCTTTTTAAAAGAAAAAATATTAAACTCTCCAATGATCATATCAATATATAATTTATAATTTTATTTTTCATGGTAGAGCTATAGAGATTATTGAGTTTCATTGAAATATGCTCACTAATGACTAGCTTCGTGAAGAGATTCTCGGAGTTCTATTAAGAAGTCGTGACTGGTGGCGTTTCAACCCTATCGGTGGTGTATGCAGTTACCCATCAAAGAAAATGGGTAAGGTTGCCCGATACCTTCAACTGATTGAAATTAAACATTAACACCAACGGTTACCGGCTTAGCAGTGATCGAGAAGCGAAGGTCCCATGTTTGATTCTCGCGAGCGAAAGTAGTAGATGTGGAGAACTGATGAGTACTAATACTAGGACGAAAAGTTCGTTCAGTGCTTCCAAGTTCCTAGTGATGATCTAACTGTTATGCTTGTCCCCATTTGATATGCTTGAAACTATTACGAGTTCACCTTAGTCGGTATACGAGAGAGAAGACAAATGACCCGGTGACACGATAGGCTACTCTAATCCAAGCGTCTCAAGGCCCCACACTAAGTAGAGGAAGAAGTCTTGACAAGACGTGCTACAAGCACCCAGAAAATACGAGGTTGACAAACATACAAATCGAGCTGATTTATAAATGATAGAATCGTCCTTGTTGAGAGTCACAAAAATAGCCTACTAAAATATACTACATCAATCAATGACAGGCAAGAATATTTTCCGAGTGGGAAATGTAATCTCAAAGTCAACTGATCAATTCATGCACCAAAAGTATACAATCCAAAAATTAGAACCTTTATCAAGTGAATTCTGAAGATTTAAAGTCTTCAACACTAACAGTTGTTCATTTATACTTTCAATTAAAAGTTATACAAAAGAGAATTAATATGTTTAATATTAATATACTAATCATAATTCTGTACGGTTCGTCACTAGGTACGCTTGAAGCTATTACACGAGTTCATCTTAGTCTATTAACGTGAACGAGACAATGAACCAGCGCGTCCAGATAGGCTACCTTGAATCTCAAGCTGAAGATAGAAGGCTTTGTAAGCGTAGAAAGTATATTCTACAAACCAACCCAGCAATCACACAATACAATCAAGCATACAACTCTCGTTTATTTATACATCATAGATAGGTCCTTGGGACGGTCAGTCATAAAAAAAATAGCACACTAATAAAATGATACAGCAGCCAATCACAGCCATAGATTTTCCTGGTTGTAAAATGTAATCTCAAGGTCAACTAACTGATCAGCCACATGCTGGCTGCAAACGTGAAATCCATACAGAATAAGGTATTTATTTATCAAGCGAGTTTTCTGAAGGGATTTAACATCCCCCAACACAATTTCAATAAACTTACAAATTTAATTCAGCTTCTAATGGTTCAATCGGGTAAAGTGTACCACTAGTTAAAATGATACAACGTACATTTTGTCGAATTAATTCTTGTATAGCACTAAAAAAAATAATTTAAACATAAAAAAGGAATATTCAGTGAATATTGAAATGAATGTAGCCAGAAAAAACAAGGCTAACAGAAAAATCAACACGATCGATAAATTGATCGAGTTCACCTTAGTCGGTAAACGAGAATGAGGATCGATGATCAGACGATATTACAGGCTATTCTAATCTGAGAGTCACAAGCACCCACTAAGTAGAGGAAGAAAAAAATTTTTAAAAAAAATCAACACAATCAATAAATTGATTGATCGTCAATAATGAGCACGTTCCGTTAGTCAGTCAGTCAGTCAGCCAACAACAACAACGTAAGGCTAACCACCAACTGCCTCGACGAGTAGGTTGGAAGAAAGTTAGGGGTGGCCAGACCAAAACATGGCAGAAATCCATGAAGTCACTGACAAGTGGACTGAGTCATGTTGGTAGATGTTGGTTACCTGGTTGGGGTCCGCGAGACTAAAGTCACCTATGGTTAGAGACCTTGAATGACATGGTTCAAAATCGTTTGCTATGGCGTAAGTGCATCCATTTGTTGTGTTCTCTTAAATCCTAATCTTCTGGAATCGTCAGCATCTCTACCTTTGTCTTTCTAACTTTATCTCACACTGAATTATACTTCTTGAATAATATCTTCAAATCCTAGTCTTCTTCATAACCATTAATACCACCTCTACTATCTTTATCACTATGGGATTTGAATTGACATTTGCGTCTGTCTGTGCTAATGTGGTATGGCAACATGAACTTATGTACATACGTACGTAGTTCTACGTAGCAACTGACTGACTGATACATGTGTATACATATCGGTAATCAAGTGACCAATGAACAGTGAATTTGTTATGCTTGTCACAGTTGATATGCTTGAACGCTATTACGAGTTCACCTTAGTCGGTATACGAGAGCGAGGATCGATGATAAGGCGATACGACAGGCTACTCTAATCTGAGCGTCCCAAGCCCCCACTAAGTAGAAAAAGAAGTTTCGATCTGGAGTAGAAAGTGTATTCTACAAGTAACCAGGACCAAGAGTTCCAAGCACACAAATCGAGTTTATTTATACAGTTAGGTTGACTGTGAATACTAACCAATAGGAAACAACATTTATAAGTATGTAAACTTGATAGTTTGGGAAGACGTCCTTAAATATTGACCAATAGAATTATACCTATAAAATAATTTAATTAAGATATTTTATGAATATCCTAACAGAATACCTAAAAAAACATATTCTTAGAGTTGAGATAATTGAAAAACTATTTCATAATATTCTCTTTTAGACAGTAACTCCTCCGCGAGCCCCTTCTCTAAGTTACTGCAGGTCTCAAGCCCTGATTGAGGCAGGAGAGTTGGGCCATGGGCTTAGCGAACCCATCCTGTAGAAAGCCAACTTGCTTGAAAAAAACGCTAACCAGAAATGGTCTGAGGCCTGTGCTCTATTTGGGGTGACAAGAGTAAGTAAACCTTTTAGACAGTAGTATGAATAATTTTACGGACAATATGTGAGTGAAAATAACTCATTGTTTCATTAAAAAAAAAATTGTTCGATAATGAGAGTAACTATGACTCTGTTAAGTAGCCACAATGTCTGTCCATCCTTATGTGGTGAGATTAACCCGTCTCGGCTGAGTGCTTGGGCTTGGTCAGGTCCATGACATCTACCGCATGAGGGTGTACGTTCTGGCTGATTTTGTGGTAAAACTCGACTTTTGGCTTGATGTAAGGTCTTGAGGGCCCTTTCGATTGTATCAGAGCTAGGCAGTTAGAGGCCAGACGGCTGGGATGGATGCTGGTTAGTGCACTGCTGGGTGGCTCGGTAACGCATACAGGGTGTCAGGTCTAGCTGGGTAAACCCGCCTTGCTGCCCATGCCGATTAGGGTCTGTGGGTAGTGCATTGGTTAGAGGGATTGAATTGATTCACAAGCACCCGTACGGGAATGACTGTTATAATGCGTACACTGATCGGATGTCCGACTTGCTTGTGGGACAATCTGGACAACATATGCTTGTTACCATATGAATTTAAACTCTTTTTATTAACTACGACAAATAAGCGTTTATACACTGAAATTCTCAGTACACAATTATTATAAGGTCTTAAAACTATAAAATCTACTGGGAAAAAACATTGTGAGTGAATATTTATCTGAATGATTGAACATTTTCCTGCACATAGAGAACAGTTTCAGTAAGAATAGTAATTTATCATCGCTTCATAATATTCGTAAAGTAGGGAGCAAAGAACTTGGTTCAACTCCGTTGGCATTCCATCAGTGGATATACACTGATGCTTCCACCAGCTTCAGAAGTTGCATACAGATTTTGTTGCGGACGTTAGATCCCCCAGAAATCACTTGATAAAGGTCCTAATTTTGGATTTTATGTTTTCGAGTGCGGGCTGATCAGTTGACCTCGAGATTACAGTACCCACTCGGGAAATCCTTGACTATCATTGGTTGATGAATTATTATAGTAGGCTATTTTTGTGTTTCTTCCAAGGACGTTTCTATCATGTATAAATAAACTCGTTTTGTGTGCTTGTCAACCTCATATTTTCTGAGTGCTTGTAGAATACACTTTCTAAGTTTTGTCGAAACTTCTTCATCTACTGAGTAGGGCCTTGGGACGCTCGTATTAGAGTAGCCTATCGTGTCACTGCATCATTAGTTTTCGCTCTCGTTTACCGACTAAGGTGAACTCGTAATAGTTTCAAGCATATCAAATGGTGACGAGTATAACAGATTTAGTCAAGTTTCGATCTTCACATTTCACTAAGTGATCAAGCAGCTCTCAGGTCTGTTACATTAATTTATGTAAACCGATATAACGATTCAGTCCATAGTGAAACAACAAGTTTCATTGAGAGCATTTAAAATTTATGACAAACACTTATACTGGTAGTTTTCACCTGTCCTATTGATGTTTAGGACTGCAACTAATCCGTCTCATTCGGAATATCGGCATTCTGTGCGTATATATGCATCCAGCTGCTGACGAGTCACGAATAGGATAAAATACACGTTTTTGATTTCATTATCCATTTCTGTTGGACATATAAATATTATCTATCTATCTATACAGATTACATGAATTCGAAGTCAGTTGCAACGTAGAACTTCGTACGTATGTACATAAGTTCATGTTGTCATACCACAGTAGCACAGACAGACGCAAATGTCAGTTCAAATCCCATAGTGATAAAGATAGTAGAGGTATTAATGTTAATGAAGAAGAAAAGGGTTCGAAGATAATATTCAAGAAGTATAATTGAGTGAGATAAGGTTAGAAAGACAAAGGTAGAGGTGCTGACGAATCCAGAAGATTAGGATTTGAGAGGACACAACGAATGGATGCACTTACGCCATTGTCAACGAATGTGAGCCATGTCATTCAGAGTGCCTAACCATCGATTACTGTTGTCTCGTGAACCCCAACCAAGTAGTCTATATCCACCAATATGGCCTAGTCCAGTTGTAACTGACTTCATGGATTTGTGCTGTGTTTTGGTTCTACCGCCTCTACGTTTCTTCCAACCTACTCCTACACCACAAAACATAGCTCGTCGAGGCAGTCGGTGGTTAGGCATTCGTAACACATGTCCCAACCACCTCAACTGATGAAGTTTCAATACTTCATCTATTGATCTGCCATCCTTACCTAGTACTCGTTTCCTAACGACAGCATTGCTTACTCGGTTGTCCCATGATATACGAGCAATGCTTCGGATACACCTATGATCGAATACTAGTAACCTACGAACATCTTCTACTCTTAACGGGGATGTTTCGCATCCACATCGGAGAACATGAATTCAAAACATTTATGTATATAGATAGAAATTAACTAGACAAAGATTAACAGAGAAATGAAAGAAATGAATTCAACGATTAAACTGAAATGTTCAATAGGCAAGCTTACTTTTTGAATGTATGCTAAATAACAGAAGAGAAATAAAAACTCAGAGACTATCAGCATTTTTTTGTGAATGAAGTAAATGAATGAACAGAGAAAAGATAGACATCATTAGTGTCAAGATTTATATGATCGGTTGAGTACATTAGATCCCCCAAACTCAATTGATAAATATCTTAATTTCGAAATTTTTGTGTTTTTGCACATAGGTTGCTCAGTTGACCTTGGGATTAGATTTCACAACCGGAAAATACTTGAATGTCATTAGTTGATGTAGTAATTTAGTACGCTATTTTTGTGGCTCTCCCAAGGATGTTTCTATCATGTATAAATAATCTTGAGTTGTGTACTTACAAACTCAATTTTCTGGGTGCTAGTAGAATACAATATGTACATCTTATCAGAACTTCTTACTATAGTTAGCAAGGCCTGGGACGATCGAATCAGAATAGCCTATCGTGTCACTGTAACATTTGTCTTCGCTCTCGTTTACCAAGTAAGGTGAGCACGTAATGTAGTGAACGAGAACACAGGTGGGGCAACCGAATTGTATTTGATGCAAATTACAGAGTTACTCAGTAAAATCGGAAAACCATATCGTAAATCGTTCATATGCAAAATAACAGTTCATCATATCGAACTGGACTGTTCCTGTTGCAAAACATCAATCCATTGTCACTATTCATGCATTTCATACAATTTCCATTGTGTTCTAACTCTTCCTTTCTTGATCTTCACCCATCTCCCGCTGCCAGACATTACGTTGACGCTCACGTCATATACTACTTATAAGTAGCTCACACCACAGTAATAGTTTTAAGCATATCATGATCACAAAAGAAAACGTTATTTGCAATGTAACTAACTGGATTAGATTTATGTAGTAATAGTGTTTTCCAGTTACCTCCGATTCAACGACATCATGTACATTAAGCAAATGCTGAGACTAAAATCTCAACAACATGAAAATTCTTAATCTGTCTATTACGCATGCATGTAAACTCGTCACTTTGATGGGCTTGAACTACGACGAGTTCACCTTAGTCAATAAACGAGAGCGAGGATCGAGGATCCGGCGACACGACAGGCTAATCTAATCCAAATGTTCCAAACCTCTATTGAGTTAAAAGAAAAAGACCTAACATGAAGTAGAACATGTATTCTACAATCATCCAGAAAGTACGAGGTCCAGGTCCAGAAAAGAATCAAGATCTCAGACTAGGGATCCGGATCCTGGTCATAAAATGTTACAGATAATGCGTATTTATACGGTCAGGTCGAATAGGAAGCAACATTTGAAATTACATGGACTGTTAAGATGACCATAATATTGGCCAGTATGAATTAACCAATGGAATAAGACTTCCAAAAATAATTCTCTTAGGATATTTGCTGAATATCTTAACACTGTCCTAAACTAATATTATGCTTGTCGAAGTCTTATGAGATAAGATAGTTCTATCTTCGGTACATCACAGTAGAATAGATATAGATTTGGATATCTACAAAAAAGGATTATTGATCAGTTCCACTTGAAACATGAACATTTGAAGAACAAGTCATTTTGCAACAATATATATAGTCAAACGGCAACAATGCAGAACTTTGCACGTACATGCACATTACTTTTAAGTTATCATAACATGATAGTATAGAGATGCAATTGTCAATTCATATCCTATAGTAGTAGAGGACAGCAGAGAATTATCAGCAGTAATCGCAGAAAACAGACAGACAGATACAACACAGAACTTCGTACGTAAGTACATCAGTTCAGGTTGCCATGCCCCATCAGCACAGAGACGCAAATCCAAGAGTGATACCAATGATAAAAGTATTAGCAGTAATGGAGAAGATTAGGGAGCGAAGATATGATTCAAGAAGTATAATTCAGTAAGATAAATTTAGAAGGAGAAAGGTAAAGATTATGAGGAATACAGAAGCTTAGAATTTCACGAAACACAAAGAGTGGATGCACCTGCACCATCGCAAACGATTTTGAGCCATGTCGTTCAAGGTTTCTAACCATTGGTGACTTTCGTCTCGTGGACCCCGACCAGGTAGTCTACATCTACCAACATGACTCAGTCCACTTGTCAGTGACTTCATGGATCTGTGAAATGTTTTGGTTTGACTTAACTTTCTTCCAACCTACTCCTACACCACAAAACATCACTCGTCGCGGCAGTCGGTGGTTAGCCATACGTAACACATGTCCCAACCACACCTCAACTGATAAAGTTTCACTACTTCATCTATTTATTGATTTGCCATCCTTACCTAGAAGTAATCCGAAAGATGAGATAGTATAATCATCCAATGTGATAAATTTGAAAAGAGAAAGATGAGAAGGTTTTTTAGAGAATTTTCGAATTAGAATTTAGGAGAATAAAAAAGTGATCAAATTTTTGACGGAAAAAAAACAAAAAAACAAAACAAATTTACTCACCGTCCAGGACTAAAACACCAATAACTAATGGTACGATTAGTTGTGCCAGCAGTACTACTACTAGTAGTAATAGATTGTACATCCCATGCATTTTTGACATATTTATTGTTAGCACTCGCTGTTAATAAATCATCTTTAATATGTACACGATAACATGAAATCAATTCATCATGTTGTAATTTAAATTGTGATTTAAAATTAAATGTAACATTTACTTCACCTGGCAAATAACCGAATACAGTCTATAGAAAAAAAAAAAATATTCATAAGATATTGAAAAGTGTATACATACTTGAAACATTGGAATTTGATAAGATTATGGTAAAAAAAAATAATATAGTTTCTTTACTACTATTAAAAATAATTCTAAGCGTACTTAGTCAGTCAGTCAGTCAGTCAATCAGCTACAATGTGGAGATTCGTACATGATTACATAAGTTCAGGGTTGCCATACATACCCCATAAGTACAGAGAGACAACTGTCGATTCAAATCCCATAGTGGTAGAGATAGTAGAAGAATTAGCAGTAATGGAGAAGATTAGGTTTCGAAGATATGATTCGAGAAGTATATTTCAGTGAGATAACTTCAGAAGGAGAAATAAAGAGATAATGAGGAATTCAGAATGTTAGGAGCTGAGAGAACACAACGAGTGGATGCACCAAGGTCTGAGGGCCAAGTCGTACTGCTGACTGCAAAGAGGTCTGACAACAGTAAGGTGTTTTCATTGGACAGCCAGCATCTGCAGTGATGCTGCCTTCTCACAAGGAAGAAAGGGGTTAGAAAAAGTCGACCCTAAAAATGTCACACCTTACCCTACCTCACGGATTTACGTTTCCGGCGGTAAGGCCTTCTAATCAAGAACAGAGCTAACACTTTAAATACTACCCATAAAAGGCCGTACGTGACCGACTTCAAGCAGTTGTCCCTTGGGCTCTGCGGTCACGCTCCCAGGTCTCTGAGACCAACACTAATCTACCTTCGTTTTCAAGTTCCACAAGAAACACCCTTTCACGGTGTGAGCAGCCGGGAAGTGTCAACCGCCCTCATACTCGTAACAGCACGCGAGACGAAACTGGTCACAAATAAATTTGAAGTGTAGATATATGTCATTTACATTTTTATCTGTCCTTTTATTTCGAACTATCTCAAAGGATGAGTTACATGAATTATTAAAGCTTTCAAATGAATATAATGTAGATTCAATATAGGCCTCATATATACCCTGGGGGTATGGTTGAAATGCTCTTATCATACAGCCGCGAGCACAGAGTCACTGTCAGTGAACTCCTACCCACTAACTTCTTGTAATCAGAGTTATATACAGAATTGAAAGGATGGTAGGAGGAATATCTGATGCTTAAACCGGATCGGTGGATACGGAGACTCTCCTGTAGTAGAATAGGAAAACACTGACTGATATAACCGTCCTTTTTTAAATAATAATAATAATAATTAGACAAATGTATGAGGTTGTGCAAAATTTGTAGATTGATCAGAGATAGACATTAAAACCGTCGGATGCCGGCCCAGTGTTCCAAAGATCAAGAGTTCGCTCTCAAAACCGAAGGTCCTGGGTTCGAATCCTGAGAAATGCAGGAGTTGTGGATGTGCACTGCTACTGATGAGTCCCATACCAAAGGACGAAACGGTCATCTTTCAGTGCTTCCAGGTTTCTAATGGTGGTCTAACAATGATTGATTGATGATTTCAAATGTGTAAAAACACAAACCTCCAAAACTCTAATTGAAAATATAAACTAACAATAATCATTGGGAAAATTGATAACAACATTCAATTGATTTTGTAGTCTGATCAATAACTCCGAAATACCACATTATTTAGAGATAAATTTAAAAGCAAAATTAACCAGAATGATAAACAAAACTAGAAAATAGATTTCTTTTTCTCAAAAAAAGAGGAATCTTACTTTCAAAAATTCACCGACTTCATGTAAACCTTTAGTTTTACGAATTTTGACGTCTAAATTGCAAAAAAAAAACAGTTGAAAGAAGTAAGTTAGTAATAAAAAATTAAACTAAATTACATGGACGAACTAGGTAATGTGTATATTTTTCCAATAAGTGTATGAATGATTTTGTTAGGTTAAAATGTAGATCTAGTTCACGTGAGTGAGTGAATTTTAATAGCATCAACTTAAAAGCTTAACTTTGAAATCATGAAACAATAAATGTTAGACTACGATTGGAAACTTGAGAGCATTGGATGGTCAGTTTTCCCTAGTATGGGACTTATCAGCAGTGCACATCCATGATGTCCGCCGACGGTAATCGAACCCGGAAACGTTGGTCTTGCACAGGAACGCCTAACCTCTAGACCCGCCGAGGAACATAACTGGAAGTAGGTCAGTCAGTTCCAACATAGAACTTCGTACGTATGTATATCAGTTCAAGTAGCCATACCACATTAACACAAAGACTCAATTGTCAGTTCAAATCCTATAGTGGTAGAGATAGTAGAAGTAGTATTAGTAATGGAGAAGATAAACGATCCAGTGACACGATAGGCCACTACTCTAATCCAAGCGTCCCAACACCCCACACTAAGTAGACGAAGAAGCTTTCATATATCGTAGAAAGTGTATTCTACAAGCACCCAGGAAATCGAGGTCCACAAGCACACAAATCGAGTTTATTTATACATGATAAAAACGTCCTTGGGAGGGCGTGAAGGATTTTCCTGGTGGGATATGTAATCTCAAGATCAACTGATCAGCCGATGCTCGGAAACATGAAAATCCAAAATTAGGAGCTTTATCAAATGAGTTCTGGGGATCTAACACGTCCCCAATAGTCATACTGGAATATCTGAGGTTGACCAATCGGTAGAATTTCCAGTAGACCACATCACGAACCACAAATAAAACATCATGAAATAAAATACGATATATGAAGCATACAATAATAATAATAATAATAATAATAATAATAATAATAATGACAATTATTCTACAATTACTATGTGTTGAATTAGTGAATGTGATAATCTCATCGATTACAGTTTGTATGGTATTATTAGTCCAATGATTAATTCCAGCTCGACTAAGTAGATCAAAGATGAAACTAGAAGGAAGATAAATAAACAAACTTAGATTGTAGATAATTTTTTTTAAAAGAAACAATGATTTCATCAAGGAAAACGATGAACTACTGATAGAGTCAATGATTTTTTAAAGTAACTCCGCCTGGAGCCTCTTCTGGGACTATTAATGCTGGTCCCAAGCCTGGATAAAGGAGGAGTGTTAGGTTTGGGGTTGGTGACCCTACTCAGTAGAAAACTAACTCACTAAAAAAACACTAACCAGGAAAAAGAATTCAGACGATTTTCACTCTGCCCAGGGAATGGAATAATCTTTTTTGTTTAAAACAAAACTCTGATAGTCAGTAAAACAAATATTATTCGGTAGGATATTTATCCAATATCCTAAGATAATTGTTTGTAAGTCTAATTCTAGTGGTCAATTCCAATTGGTCGTCCTATATATCAATGTCAAATACTTCAAATGTTGTTTCTTATTGGTGGTCCTAACTATCAATGTTGTTCCTATTAGACCTAACTGTGAAAGATATGCATTGTGCGTAACACCTTATGATCCGGATCTTTAGTCCAGGATACTGATCCTCTTCTGGACTCGGAGTTCATACTTTCTGGATGCTTGTAGAATACTTGTTCTACTTCATATCAAGTCTTCTTCTTCTATACAATGGGGGTTTGGGATGTTCGGATTAGAGTAGCCTGTCGTGTCACTGGATCATCGATCCTCGCTGTCGTTCATCGACTAAGGTGAACTTGTATTAGTTCAAGCACATCAAATGACGTGGATACTCACATACGTAACATAGACATTAACACCGTTGGATGCCGGCCAGCTAAGTGGTACAGATAAGTTGAGAGTTCATGCGCAAGACCAAATGTCCTGAGTACAATTCCCACGAGCAGGATTCGTGGTTGCACACTTCTAAATATTCTTACACTAGGATGAAACGGCCGTCCAGTGCTTCCAGGTTTCTAATGTGTTAGCCTAACAATCACTTATTCATGATTGGAATGTAAAATATTTTAATCATTTAAACACCCCTTTCACATTGATTACTATTTGTGAATACTTATCGATGAGAAACATTTCTCATATTATGATAATATACAAAAGTATGTATATTGATTTGTTTAATAATTAATATGATTTCTGTTTATGCTGTATTCCACTGCTGATGAGAAATCATGAAGTAAAAAAAATAAAATTCACGCTATCCAGTTAAGGTTTTGTTCCTCTTCCTCTATAGCTATCTAGGTCATTTAGTACAAATAGGCCATATGAAGCAACGAATAGTAAACCGAGTTAATAGCAATTTGTCTAAATTTATCAGATTAAGCATTCTTCATATAGTTGAAACAATAGCTATTTGAATCAAAAAACCGAAAGGGTTTTATTGAATCCAGAATAACTAGTGATAGGAAGAGTCTCATCAGCGCTGATAGCCTGGTGACTGACGAAATCTCAGAGCGGATACAGACAGCTCGATTTGCTTTTGCCAACCTGCGTCACTTATGGCGTAGGCGAGATATCCGTTTACTGACCAAAGGACAGGGGTACTGCGCAGCAGTTCGCTCCATTCTCCTATATGGCTGTGAAACATGGCCGTTAAGAGTAGAAGATGTTCGTAGGTTACTAGTATTCGATCATAGATGTTTAAGAAGAATTGCTCGTGTATCCTGGGACAACCGAGTAAGCAATGCAGTTGTTAGGAAACGAGTACTAGATAAGGATGGCAGATAAATATATGAAGTATTGAAACTTCATCAGTTGAGGTGGTTGGGACATGTGCTGCGTATGCCTAACCACCGACTGCCTCGACGAGCTATGTTTTGTGGTATAGAGGAGTAGGTTGGAAGAAAGCTAGGGGCGACCAAGCCAAAACATGGCACAAATCTATTAAGTCACTGAAAAGTGGACTGAGTCATGTTGGTAGATGTAGGCTACCTGGTTGTGGTCCGCGAGACGAAAGTCGCCAATGGTTAGAGACCTTAAACGAAATGGCTCAAAATCGTTTGCAATGGTGCAGGTGCATCCACTCTTTGTGCTCTCTCTGAAATCCTAATCTTCTGGATTAGCCAGCACCTCTACCTTTGTCTTTCTAACATTATCTCACACTGAATTATACTTCTTTAATAATATATTCAAACCCTAGTCTTCTTCATTACCATTAATACCTCTACTATCTTTATTACTATGGGATTTGATTTGACATTTGCGTCTCTGTGCTAATGTGGTATGGCAATCTGAACTTATGTACATACGTACGAAGTTCTACGTTGCAACTGACTGACTGACTGATTGACTGACTGAGAAGAAATAGATTCAATAACTTCTTTAGCGTTGATCAACTTCTAGTCTGTGATGATGATGTTCATACAATCACCCTCCCTGTACAAATCTTATCATCATTATTATAACACTTGAAAACTCTTTCAAACATATTGATTACTTCCACTATTCAGTAACTGTTGGGAGTTATTTACTGAAGACAATGAGTGAGGTTGTGCAACAATATGTTGGATTATTTGAAGCTAGACATTAACACCGTTTGGATTCCGGCGCAGTGGTCTACAAGTTAAGCGTTTTAGTCCAGGATACTGATCCTCTTCTGGACTCGGAGTTCATACTTTCTGGATGCTTGTAGAATACTTGTTCTACTTCATATCAAGTCTTCTTCTTCTATACAATGGGGGTTTAGGATGTTCGGATTAGAGTAGCCTGTCGTGTCACTAGATCATCGATCCTCGCTGTCGTTCATCGACTAAGGGGAACTCGTAATAGTTCAAACATATCAAATGACGTGGTCACTTGTATGCGTAACATAGACATTAACACCGTCGGATGCCGGCTCAGTGGTCCAGAAGTTGAAAGTTCGTGCGCAAGACCGAAGGTCCAGGGGTTCAACTCCTGCGAGTAGCAAGTAGTGGTCATGAATGCGTACTGCCTATTAACGAATCCTCTATTACGACAAAACAGCCGTCTAATGCTATCAGGTATCATCTATCTATCTAACAATGATCAATTCATGATTTGAACAAAAATGCTCGTTTATAAGGGGTATCATTAACACTTTTAGAAAAAAACAAACATTTTTTTTACCTGCCATCTTTAGTAAGACCTTCCGAAGGAACAGTCAATTCATCAATTAATCTTTCTAATTCCATTAATTGTCCTATAGCGAGAGAGAGAGAATATGAGTTTATCATTATTCAAACCAAACTATACAACGAACTAACCTTTTAATGTGATCATTTTTTCAATACTTAAAGCTTCAACTATAGAAAAAAAAAAGTAAAGACGATTAAAAAAAAAATAGGAAAAGTTCACATACTTGCATTCTCTTCCGGTTGGGTCATATCGAATAAACCTTTCGATTTATTGATGTTCATTGTGGATTTTTGTGTAGTATCATTCCTGTTATCTTCTGCACAGTCAATTTCTTCATGTTCCATAGTATGTTGAAATACAATTTCACAAACACTACGTACATGTTCAATAGCTGAAGCTAATAAAGCTGAATTCAATGTTACTGATGAAGCATCTTCACATACTTGTTCCTATAGAAGAGATTTAATAATAATAAGAAGAAGAGTAAAATGTGAATAGAATTTTTATCGTTACTTTTTTGTGCATTATAGAGTTATGAAGATTGGAATCAATCATTAGTTTAGACCACATAAGCACTAGACGGCTGTTTGGTGCCAATATTGGGGACTCAAAAGGATTTTTGAGAGAAGCCGAAAAAATGAATGCACATGCATTATTGCAAACATCTTTGAGCCATGTCATTCAAGGTCTCTAATCATCGATTACTATCATCTCATGGATCCCAACCAGGTTGTTAGCGGGACATAAATTGGATTAAAATATGATTTGCGTTAGCTGCGCGCTGATTGGCTAAATCTTATCTAAGCAGCGCCAGTCGATAATTGCAGAACATTCTAGAAGCTTCTCATGTAAAAAAAATTATCAAGATACTAACGTTGTTCTTATTTCACCTTCACTTCGGTTTCTTACTTCCATTTAGCCTTGCTATTTGGAATATATAATCTCTTCCCTGTTCAACCGTGTTCTGATTTGTGGGACTTATCGAGTGTATTATTGTCAGAGAATACTAAGCAATAGGTATAGCTGAGTTTTCTAAGACATAATTATAACACAGGTAGTCTACAGTCATGTAGGTAAGTGTAAACCTTGAATGATATGGCTCAAAATCGTTTGCAATGGTGCAAATGCATCCATTCTTTGTGTTCTGTCAAATTGTAATCTTTTGAAATCCTCATCACCTCTATCTCTCTATTTTCAAATTTATTTCACTAGGTTATACTTATTGAATAATATCTTCCAACTCGTGCACAAGACAGAAGATCTTGGGTCCGAATCCTGCGAGGTGCAGGAGTCGTGGATGCGCACTGCCATTGATGAGTAGTCTTGTACCAGAGGACGAAACGGCCGTCCAGTACTTCTTCCAGGTTTCTAATGGTGGTCTAACATTGATCAATTCATGGTTTCAAATATATATCAATGAAAGTAGTTGATATTTTCAATTGAGAGTCATTTGCAAAACAAATGAACTAGATAAGGCGAAAGTCTGAGACACATGAACAAAACTTTATTGATAAATGCCTGTGTTGGAATTAATCCTATGAAGTTTTTTGACAATAAAAAATAACGATAGTGTCAAAGGTCATTTAATTTGTATGTGAGTTTTGTTTAAATTTTCTGAATCTCTCTTTATGGTTTACTCATGTTTTACTGCTATGAAGGCAAAAGAAGTTTTCCGTTTAATTTATCATAAGGAAATATAGGTTACAAGCTTTTGGCATCATTCAAAATCGATTACGGATCGGGAAATATGAATTCGAGAAGTATGTCCCAATGAAATCAGTGTTTAGATGAAAAGAGAAAAAAGCTCACGGAGAATTTAGCATTCCATACAGAGGACAAAGAATGAAGATGCAGTTGCGTCATTGCAAACAATTTCAAGCCATGGTCATTTACAAAAGTCCTCTAACTATCATCAGTTACTATTAGTCTCACGAGAGCCCACCAACCGGATAGTCAACACCTATTAGCTAGCCTTAAGTATCAGTATATGTCATGAGGGCTTCTATGGACCTCTATTGACGAATGACATTTATTCTCCAGAAATAGTATAGTCTATAACTTCACCATTTTACTCATGATAGAATAAGCTTACTTAGAACAAAGACGATATAATGTCATTAAATCAAACAAACAAAGCCTTTGAATGTGTAAACTAGGATTTAAATCAACTACTACTAACCACAGTAGAATTACTGTGAGGCCTGTCACTTGATATTACGAGTTCACATAAGTCGGTTAACCAGAGTGAAGACAAATGAACCAGTGACACGATAGGCTACTCTAATCCGAGAGTCTCAAGGCCTCACACTAAGTAGAGGAAGAAGTCTTGACAAGACGTGTTTCTACAAGCACCCAGGAAATAGAGTTTATTTATACATGATAGAAACGTCCTTGGAAGAGACACAAAAATAGCCTACTAAAATAATACATCAACCAATAACAGTCAAGGATTTTCCGAGTGGGAAATGCAATCTTCGTTAGATTCGTCATAAAGTATGCTTGAAACTATTACGAGTTCACTTTAGTTGATAAACTAGAATTCGACAATGAACCAGCATCCAGGTAGGCTACTTTGATCCGTCGACTCGAAACGGCTTATGAGAAATCTTGACATAGCGTAGAAAGTATATTCTACAAACACCCAGCAAGCACAATGCATTCAAGCGCACAAATCAAGCTTATTTATACAAGATAGAAACGTCCTTAGGAGAGCCACAAAAATAGCGTACTAAAATAATGCACCAACCAATGATAGTCAAGGACTGTCCAGGTGGGAAATGTAATCTCAAGGTCAACTGATCAACCCATGCTCACAAACATGAAATCCAAAATTAAGGCATTTATCAAGCGAGATCTGGGGATCTAACGTCCCCAACAATTACTAAGATAAATAAAAAGTGACTTATGAACATAAGAAAACATACAAAGATTGAGTTACATACAAATAAAGACTTATTATAAATATGAATGGTAAAAATAAGCTAAGACAATTGATTGAAGAAGAACAACACGCAGGTAACATTAACATTCAATGTCTGTAATGTAAATAAAAATAAAATTTATAACTCAAACTTACAATATTATGAGCTTCATCGAAAATAACCGTTGTATTTTCAAGATTAATATTATAAAGAGTTCGAATCTACAAAACCAGAAGAAAATATACAAGACAGAATGGAATAAAAATTACATACATACATACATCATCGTCATTATCGATTCATCTTGTTCAAAAGATGGTTCAGTGAAACTTAATAGACGATCAATCAGTCAGTCAGTCAGTCAGTCAGTCAGTTACAACGTAGAACTTCGTACGCATGTGTACATAAGTTCAAGTTGCCATACAGCATATTAGTACAGAGATGCATCTGTCAGTTCAAATCCCATTGTGGGAGAGATAGTGAAAGTATTAGCAGTAATGGAGAAGATATTATTCGACGAGAAGTATAATTCAATGAGATAACGTTACAAAGAGGGAGATGGAGATGATGAAGAATTCAGAAGATCACAATTTCATCGAACACAAAGAGTAAATGCACCTGCACCAGTGCAAACGATTTTGAGCCATGTCATTCAGGGTCTCTATCCATCGATTGCTATCGTCTCGCGGACCCCAACCAGGTAGTTGATACCTACAAAGATGACTCAGTCCACTTGTTAGTGACTTCATGGATTTCCGCCATGTTTTAGTCTGGCCACCCCTAGCTTTCTGCCATACTAATCCTGCCCCACAAAACATAGCTCGTCGAGGCAGTTGGTGGTTAGGCATACGTAACACATGTTCCAACCACCTCAACTGATGAAGTTTCAATACTTCATCTATTGACCTGCCATCCTTAGCTAGCACCCATTTCCTAACTATAGCATTGCTTACTCGGGTGTCCCAGGAAATACGAGCAGTGCTGCGAAGACATCTATAATCGAATATTAATAACCAACGGATGTCCTCTACTTTTATCGACCATGTTTCCCATCCGTATAGAACGACGAATCGAACAGCCGTACAGTACACTCATCCTTTGGTTAGCAAACCAAAGGTGTTTTCAGAAAGTCTCTCATTACCTTATGCGTTTTTTTCGAGTCTCTTTAACCAACAGAAATGAAGCGAAATTGTCAGTCCTAGTATCAAATAACAAGCTAATACTTTTTTTTGATAAATCGCCTTTCTCAAGTCAATGTCATTAATTTTTTTCAAAATCTCATCAGCTGAATAGAGGATTATAAGTTTTGTTGTTTTAAACGAAAAATTTTCAAGTCAGTTTTAAAATGTCATTAACATAACATTAATAAGATATGATTGTCAATCTGTATGGTACAAATTGATACAGAGTTATCAACTTGTTATGCTCGTCAATTGATATGCTTGAACGCAATTACGATTTCACCTTATTCGGTAAACAAGAGCGAAGATAAATGATCCAGTGACACGGTAGGCTACTCTAATCCAAGTGTCCCAAGGTGCCACACTAAGTAGAGGAAGAAGTTTTGATAAGACGTATAAAGTGTATTCTACAAGCATCCAGGAAATCGAGGTTAACAAGCACAAAAATCGAATTTATTTATACATGATAGAAACGTCCTTGGGAGAGCCACAAAAATAGCGTACCAAAAATAACACATCAACCAATAACAGCCAAGGATTTTTCGGGTGGGAAAAGTAATCTCAAGGTCAACTGATCAGCCCATGCTCGAAAGAATCAATTCCAAAACTAGGACCGTTAACGAATGACTTCTGGGGGATCTAACCTCCCCAACACAACATAACTACCAGTGATGTTAAATACACACACACACACACACACACAACAATAGAAATACTTACTCGTGGATCAAGTAAATAATTATAAGGCATAAAAACCAAAGATGAGTCGGTTTTCAGTTCTCTCGATATGAAATAAGGGCAACATCTAAAATATAAACATATGCAAAAGTAAAATAGTATAAATTTATATTAAAAATTATATATAAATATAAAAAATGTCAGATTTACAATTACACATAACATTGGTTTTAAAATTGAAAAAAAATATTTATCTATCCTATAGTAAAATGTATTAACATGTTTTAAACAACTTGAACAATAAGACTGACATGATTCTCTACTCTTCAAATTCAAAATAATACCGGAAGTCTGTATCAACAACATACAGAAAGGAGGAGGAAATCAGGAAGAAACGGTGAAGTTGGTGGATAGGACACACACTACGAAAAGCACCTAACTGCGTCACAAGACAAGCCCTCACATGGAACCCTCAAGGAAAAGAGGAAGGCCAAGGAACACTTTACACTGAGAAATAGAGAAAGATATGAGAGGAATGAAGAACAAAAATTGGACAGAACTGGAGAGGGAAGCCCAGGACAGAGTTGGTTGGAGAAAACTGGTGGGTGGCCTATGCTCCATTGGGGGTAACAGGCGTAAGTAAGTAAGTAAGTAAGTAAGTAAGTATCAACAACATACAGAGAGAGAGAGTGGAGGGATCGCATAGATTAACTTTTAAAGACCTTTTATGTATGATGGTTAAGTATAAGGAGGTAAAAGTTGTCTGACGCAATAACTAGAGTGTAATGACTGGACGGCATCCTATCTCACAAGACCCAAAAATAGTTTAACTAATATAATATCTCAAACACCGAAACTCAAGAACAGAAAACTAGGAAAAAGCGGGATGTATTTGCTCTTTATCAGATTCTATATAAATATATAAACATGATTACCGAACCCAACTGTAGTATTTTTTCGAAATAAGGATGGTTTTGAACTCTGTTGATGTGAAAGGTTTTGTTAGTGTTGATGACTAAATGTTGTACTGCTTTTAGTTAAGTCAGAACTTATGTCAAGTGGTATTCACTAGGACATAAAATTGGATAGTATCAAGTCGATTGACAGACAGATACAATGCAGAACTTCGTACATAAGTACATCAGTTCAGGTTGCCATACCACATTAGCACAGAGATGCAACTGTCAGTTCAAATCCAAGAGTGATAGTGATAGTAGAGGTATTAGCAGTAATGGAGCGAATATATCGATTACACACAATAAATACATGCTTATGGCTATTTTAAACACTGACAGATTTAAGTTTCGATAATGTCCATAAAATTAGACAGTTTAGTTGAGAAGTTGAATTTATCAGTCAGTCAGTCAGTCAGTTACAACGTAGAACTTTATACGTACATACGTACATCAGTTGAAGTTGCCGTACCACATTAGCACACAGAGATGCAATTGTCAATTCAAATCCAATAGTAGTAGAGGTAGTAAAGGTATTAGAAGTAATCGGAGACGTTAGGATTAGACGATATTATTCAAGAAGTATGATTCAGTGAGATAGGTTTAGAAAGACAAAACTAGAGGTGTTGAAGAATCCAGAGGATTGGAATTTGAGAGAACACAAAGAATGGATGCACCTGCGTCATTACAAACAGTTTTAGGCCATGTCATTCAAGGTCTCTAATCATCCATTATTATCATCTCCCAGACCCCAATCATGTAATCTACAGCTGTAGTGAATGAGAACACAGGTGGGGCGACCGAATCGTATTTAACGAAAATTACAGAGTTACTCAGTAAAATAGGAAAACCATATCGTAAATTGTTAATTTGCAAAATATCAGTTCATCATATCGAAATGGACTGTTCCTGTTGCAAACAACATCAATCCATTGTCACTATTCATGCGTTTCATACAAATTTTGATTGTTTTCTAACTCTTCCTTTCTTGATCTTCCCCCATCTTCTGCTGCCAGACATTACGTTGACACTCACGTCATATACTACTTATAAGTAGCTCACACCGCACACCTACTAATATGGCTCGGTCCAGTTGTCAGTGACTACATGGATTTCTACCGTGTTGTAGTTTGGCCGCAAATCAAACAATTCTAATAACACAACACCTATTTATGATCGATTTCGTCAAAAAAATATCAATATATTTCATGACTTAGCGTTCCATTGAATTTTTATTCACAGAAATCATAAAAACAAGGGGTGATACAATCAATTCAATAAAACAACAACAACTACAGCAACATTAATAATAAAAAATTATTCATTACTTTATTTTTTGACCATAATTTGATAAATCTTCAATGTCTACAATACCTTCCGATTTTAAATTCGCTAAAATATCATCACGTTTAGCTGAAATCCGAAAAAAAACAAGATATTTAGCGCGGGGGAAAAAAATCTATACTTATTGAATATGCCTATGGTTATAGTACTGTTAAAAGTTTCAAAAATGAACTGATACTGTGGTGTGAGCTACTTATAAGTAGTATATAACGTGAGTGTCAACGTAATGTCTGGCAGCAGAAGATGGGGGGGGGAAGATCAAGAAAGGAAGAGTTAGAAGAACACAATGGAATTTGTATGAAATGCATGAATAGTGAAATGTCAGACAATGTGGATTGATGATGGATTGAAGATTCGCAAATTAACGGTTTACGATATGGTTTTCCATATTCTACTGAGTAACTCTGTAATTTTCGTTAAATACAATTTGGTTGCCTTCACCTGTGTTCTCGTTCACTACAATACTACTAATGTTTTTGAATCATTTTAAACAAGTAATTATAAACAAGAAACTGGGTATAGTTATAAATATGTAATATGTAATGCCAACTAAAACACTCTTGATGGAGATGCCTTGGAGGAGGAGGTTAACAACTTTTTACATATCTAGGAAGCATCATCGACAATCAAGGTGAATACGATGCAGATATGATGGCGCGGATCGGCAAAGCAAGGACTGCATTTCTACAATTGAAAAATATCTGGAACTCCAAACAACTTTCAACCAAAACCAAAATCAGGATTTTTAATACAAATGTCAAGACAGTTCTACTGTGTGGAGCGGAAACATGGAGAACTACCAAAGCCATCATCCAGAAGATACAAGTATTCATTGACAGTTGCCAACGTAAGGTACTTCGGATCCGTTGGCCACACACTATCAGCAACAACTTACTGTTGGAGAGAACAAACCAGATTCCAGTAAAGGAGGAAATCAGGAAGAAGCGGTGGAAGTGGATAGGACACACACCGAGAAAAGCACGGAAGTGCGTCACAAGACAAGCCCTCACATAGAACCCTCAAGGCAAAAGGAAAAGAGGAAGGTCAAGAAACACATTACGCCGAGAAATAGAGAATGGCATGAGAAGAATGAACAAAAATTGGACAGAACTGGAAAGGGAAGCTCAGGACAGAGTAGGTTGGAGAATACTTGTCGGTCGCCTGTGCTCCATTGGGGGTAACAGGCGAAAGTAAGTTAGTAAGTAATATTTGTGATAAGTTGGTTGAGCGAAGATAAGAAGCCAACACTATACTGAATCCGCTACTCGCGGGACTCGAACCGTATGATCTTCGGTCTTGTGTACGAATGCTTAACCTCTGGACCATTAAGTCGGCATCTGACAGCGTGTTAGGATATTCATCCGATATCCTAAGAGAATTATTGGTCAACTCCTATTGGTTAATTTCTACTGATCAATTTTACGATCGTCCTACATATCAATGTCACGTGCTCCAATGTTGTTTCTTATTGGTTATCCTGACTGTTAATGTCACTCAAATTTTGTTTCCTATTGGTCGACTTAACTGTCAATGTCACAGACTTCACGGTTGTTCCTATTCGACCTAAATGTATAACTACGCATTATCTGTAACGTTTTATGACCCGGACCCGGACCCGGATCCCTAGTCCGGTATCCTGATTCTCTTCTGGACTCGGACCTCGTACTTTCTGGATGTAGAATACAGGTCCTACTTCATATCAAGTCTTCTTTTATTCAATGGGGGTCATGTCGCCGGATCACCTCAATCCTCGCTCTCGTTTACTGACTAAGGTTTACTCGTAATATCAAAGTTGACGTGTTTACGTGCATGAGTAACAAAATCAAATTCGTTAACTTACAATCGAAATTTCGAAAATATTCACATGTTCTCGTTTGAACTCGCATACGACATGCATAAATTTTGGCTGAATTCGATTCCAATAATTTGACATCAGGAAGAAGGCATAATTGATCTCTTGATCCGACAACACTGACACTACGTCTTTAAAAGTAAGGAAAAAACGAAAAGTGAATTAGGAGCCGCCGATTTATCCATTGCTAGCTGAATATTTCGTCTTTCATCAGAAAAAAAGTATTTGATCACAGATACAATATGACAAACTGTTTCTCGCTGGATTAGTTCAATCAGTCAGTCAGTTACAACGTAGAAATTCGTACATTAGTACATAGGTACACGATTTCCATACCACATCAGCACAGAGACGCAACTATCACTTCAAATCCCGTGGTATTATAGATAGTAAAAGTATTAGCGGTAATGCAGAAGATCAGGGTATAATTCAGTGAGACAAAGTTATAAAGAGAAAGATAGAAACGATGAGGAATTCAGAATGTTAGAATTTCATAGAACACAAAGAGTGGATGCACCTCACTGCAAATGCTTTTGAGCCATGTCGTTCAAGGTCTCTAACCATCGGTGACTTTCGTCTCGAGGACCCCAACCAGGTGGCCTAAATCTACCAACATGACTCAGTCCATTTGTCATTGACCTCATGGATTTGTGCCATGTTTTGGTTCGGCCTCTCCTAGCTTTCTTCTAACATACTCCTCAACCACTAAACATATCCCGACGAGTCAGTCGGTGGTTGGAAATATGTAGGACATGTCCTAACCACTTCAACTGATGAAGTTTCACTACTTCATCAATTGATCTGCCATCCCTACCTAGTACCCGTTTCCTAACTGTAGCATTGCTTACTCGGCTGTCCCAGGACATACAAGCAATGCTCTGAAAACATCTATGGTCGAAAAACAGTAACCGACGCATATCTTCTACTCTTACCGGCCATGTTTCGCATCCATATAGGAGAACGGAGCGAACTGCTGCACATTACAATCGTCCTTTTGTTAGCAAACAGATATCTCTCCTACTACATAGGTGACGCATGCTGGCAAAAGCCAATCGAGCCTTCTGTATCCGTGCCGAGATTTCGTCAGTAACCAGGCCATCAGCAGTGATGAGACTGCCGAGATAATTGAACTGGTCAACACTCTCAGGTGCTAACGCAAGCCAATCTTGAAGCAAAAGTTTGCGTTTCGACGGGGGGAGAATCGCATCCCGAACATGCTTGGAATTAGTTCATTGAAACAAGTTATAAATACACTAACACCAACCACAGTAAAAAAAATGGAACTTCAAGGCAGTGGTTCAATCTGTTAAATTCACTGACAAAAGTATAATATTATATCGATCCATAAGTAAAGTATTATGGTTCGAATTCTGGAATGATTAATAATAAACATATGTAAAATAAAAATAAGGCGGAAAATTAACATTCTTGTTTGAATTTGAACCAATGTTACTTAAAAAGAAATCTACTAGTGCTACAGGTAAATTACTGACATTATTTATCAATTTTTGTATTTAAAATGGTTCTATAATGCGCCAGTCGTGTTTTTAAAAAAATTACTATAAATCATTATTTAAACACATCTGTAAAATTATTTTTCAATTGATCTAACATCAACTATTTCCGCCTGGAGCCCTTCTTGGGTTAATGCAGATCCTAAGCCCGTATGAACAAACAGGATTCGGTATAGGGGTTAGAGACTCTATCCCATAGAAAGCCAACTCGCTTGAAAAGGCTAATCAGAAATGGTCCACGGCCTATGCCCCATTCGGAGCAACAGGTGTAAATAAGTGAGAAACATCAACTATCCGTTTTCAGTGTAAGGTATGTGTGGGTGTAGGAAGGATTTGATTTCGACCATTTTGGTCTCGTGTGCTGTTACGGGTATGAGGGCGGTTGTCACTTCCCGGCTGCCCACACCGTGGAAGGGTGTTTCTTCAGGAACTTGAAAAGGAAGGTATAGTAGAGTTGGTCTTAGAGACCTGGGTGCTTGACCGCAGAGTCCAAGGGACAACTGCTTGAGGCCGGTCACGCACGGCCTTTTTATGAGAAGTTTTTTGAGTATTAGCTCCGCTCTTGAAAGCCCTTAATAGGCACCCTTACCACCGGAGACGGAAATCCGTGAGGTAGGGTGAGGTGTGACATTTTAAGGGTCGACCTTTTCTAACCCTTCCTTCCTTGTGAGAAGGCAGCATCGCTGCAGATGCTGGTTGTCCGAAGGAAACACCTTACTGCTATCACACCCGTCTACAGTCGGCACGAGTACGACTTCGCCCTCAGACCTTGGGTAGCTGCTTTTAGTCTCATCGTTTTCCAATCGACCTGCCTGGCATGGTAGAACCTTCAGGAACACATGTTCCAGCCAATATAGCTCAGTTGGGTCATCACGATACGCAAGCGCGACCACCACGTCAAGGTAGCAGCTACGGTCGGGTTTCAGTGTGAGTGTAATGCATTATTTATCACCTGCTTGTTAGGACAATCGGTGACAATCATTCCAGTTCGATAAATGTTCTATTATATAATATTAAATAATAGACGACCAAGTTTCTTACTGTAGTGAAAATATTCTAAGACAGACAGACAGGCAGATAAAACGAAGAACTTCGTACATAAGTATATCAGTTCAGGTTGCCATACCACATCAGCACAGAGACGCCACTATCACTTCAAATCCAAAAGTAATAGTGATAGTAGGATTATTAGTCAGTCAGTCAGTCAGTCAGTCAGGTGCAACGTAGAACTTCGTACGTAAGTACATCAGTTCATGTTGCCATACCACATCAGCACAGAGATATAATTGTCAATTCAAATCCAATAGTAGGAGAGGTAGTAAGGGAATTAGAAGTAATCGGAGAGGTTAGGGTTAGAAGATACTATTCAAGAAGTATGATTCAATGAGATAAGTTTAGAAAGTAAAAACTAGAGGTGTTGAAGAATCCAGAAGATTAGGATTTGAGAGAACACAAAGAATAAATGCACCGGCGCTATTGCAAACTGTTTTTAAGCCATGTCATTCAGGGTATCTAACCATCGATTATTATCATCTCGCGGACCCCAACCAGGTAGTCGACAATTACCGACATGGCTCAGTCCTCTAGTCAGTGACTTCATGGATTTCTGCCATGTTTTGGTCTGGCCGCCCCAAACTTTCTTCCAACCTACTCCTACACTACAAAATAGAGCTCGTCGAGGCAGTCGGCGGTTGGGCATACGCAACACGTGTCCCAACCACCTCAACTGATGAAGTTTCACCACTTCATCGATTGATCTGCCATTCTTACCTAGTACCCGTTTCCTAATAACAGCGTTGCTCACTCGGGTGTCCCACGATATACGAGCAATGCTTCGAAGACACCTATGATCGAAAACCAATAACCGACGAGTATCTTCCACTCTCATTGGCCATGTTTCACAGCCATAAAGTAAGACGGAGCGAACTGCTGCGCAGTACACTCGTCCTTTAGTCAGCAAACGGATATCTCGCCTACGCCATAGGTGACGCAGGTTGGCAAAAGCCAATCGAGCTTTCTGTATCCGAACTGAGATTTCGTCAGTTACCAGGCCATCGGCACTGATGAGACTCCCAAGATAAGTGAAGCGGTCCACACGTTCGACTACTTCACTCCCTATCACTAGTTCAGGTGCCAATGCAACCCAGTCTTGAAGCAACATTTTGCATTTCGAGGGGGAAAACCGCATTCCGAACATGCTTGCATTGTTGCTTAGGGTAGTCAGAAGACGCTGCATTTTGTCAGCATCTTCACCACGTAGGACTATGTCATCGGTATATTCTAAGTCAATAAGCGAGCCACCGAGTAAAAGGTCTACTCCAGAAAATTCAGACGAGGATAAGGTTATGTCTAGGAGCATGTCTATGATAAAATTAAACAAGAATGGAGAAAGTGGACATCCCTGACGGACACCACTTGATGTAGAAAATTCCGGTGACAGTTCGCCATAAGCCCTCACTCGACCAGTGGTGTTCGAGTAGAGGGCTTGTATAAGGTTAATGTACTTCTTTGGTACACCTTTCAATGACAGACACCGCCACAGAACCTTACGATCTACAGAGTCAAATGCCGCTTTTAGGTCCAGGAAAACAACTATTGTAGGACGCCTAAATGTGTGTCTATGTTCCAGGACCTGTCTGAGTGTGAAAATGTGGTCTATACAACCACGCCCAGGTCGAAAACCAGATTGGTTTTCTCGGGTTCGCTCTTCACGAGCTTTCGTTAAGCGTCGAAGAATTACTGAGGCCAATATTTTAGATACTATATTAGTCAGACTTATTCCCCTGTGATTGTCACAAGAAGACTTCTGTCCTAGCTAATGATGCCTGTTGCCCTATTTGACACAATGTCAGTACATTAAAAGCTCCAACATGTAGTTTAGAACGGGGTTTCAAGAGACCAGGAACTTCGTTTCGTGATCGCGCTTCGTCTGCAATAGCGGTGCAGTGAGAAAAGGGAGTATGAGTAGAGTTAGTCGTAGAGATAAGAGAGACATTAGGGGGTGTAGAAAGGATTTGATTTTGACCAATTTGATCTCGCGTGCTGTTACGGGCATGAGGGCGGTTGTCACTTCCCGGCTGCCCACACCGTGGAAGGTTGTTTCTTGACGAACCTGAAAAGGAAGATGGATTAGTGTTGGTGCGTGACCGCAGAGTCCAAGGGACAACTGCTTGAGGCCGGTCACGCACGGCCTTTTATGAAAGGTATTTAGAGGATTAGCTCCGTTCTTAAAGGCCCTTAGTGGGCACCCTTACCCAAGGAGACGGAAATCCGTGAGGTAGGGGAGGTGTGACATTTTTAGGGCCGGCCTTTTCCAACCCTTCCTTCTTTGTGAGAAGGCAGCATCGCTGCAGATGCTGGTTGTCGGGGGGAAACACCTTACTGCTGTCACACCCCTCTGCAGTCAGCAGTACGACTTCGCCCTCAGACCTTGAGTAGCTGATTTTAGTCTCATCGTTCTCCAATCGACCTGCCTGGCATGGTAGGACCTGCAGGAACATATGTTCCAGCCAGTATAGCTCGGTTGGGTCATCACGATAGGCAAGCCCGACCACCACGTCAAGGTAGCAGCTACGGTCGGGTAGAATTATTAGAAGTAATGGAGAAGATTATGGAGCGAACATATGATTCGAGAAGTATAATTCAGTAAGATAAATTTAAGAGGAGAAAGGTAGAGATGATGAGGGATTCATTAGGTCAGAATTAGAAAGAATACAAAGAATGGATGCATCTGCGCCATTGCAAACGATTTTGAGCCATGTCATTCAAGGTCTCTAACCATTGGTGACTTTCGTCTCGCGAACCCCAACCAGGTAGACATCTATCAACATGACTCATTCCACTTGTCAGTGACTTCATGAATTTCTGCCATGTTTTGATTTGGCCGCCCCTAACTTTCTGCCAATCTACTCCTACACTGCAAAACATAGCTGAAAATATTCTAAGCGCCATGATCGATGGATTGTAACCTACAAAACAACCTGTTCTTATCATCATCATCATCATCATCATCATCAACAAATCAAAGAACATTATACGGTTATACATACAGATAGTACTTTAAAAAAAAATGCCTACACTAAAAAATAATATTCATGACAAAACTTCTAAAACACTGAATTAATCCTATACAAATTTACTTTGAATACACTGTTCCTTTCAATGCATTAACAGCTTGAGCTAATTGTGAATGAGTTCTTGATGCAAAAATAATTTTACAAGTATTAGTATTTAATTTATTTAAAACATTCTTTTGATGAATTAACGAATTATCGACATCATCATTGGTAAGCCATGTCTTGTTCATTGCATTTTGATGTTTGACATTCATTGTTATTGGCATTGATTGTATGGAATTGGCTTGTTTATCAAGCCATGCTAATGAAGCGCATAATAGGCATAAAGTTTTACCAGTACCAGTAGGTGATTCTAAAATGGCATGTTTACCCTAGAGAAAGAGAGAGAGTAGAAGAGAATAATTTTTAAAAGTGTTAGAATATTCATCCAATATTCTAAGAGAATTATTGGTCAAATCCTATTGGTCGATTTCTATTGGTCAAATTTATGGTCGTTTTAACTGTCAAAGTCAAATACTTCAATGTTGCCTCTTATTGGTCATCTGGACTGTCAATGTCACTTCAAATGTTGTTTCCTATTGGTCGTCTTAACTGTCAATGCCACAGAATTCAATGCTGTTTCTTATTCGACCAAAATGTATAAATACGCATTATCTGTAACATTTTATGACCACGACCAGCACCAGGACTCGGTCCCGGATCCCCAGTCCGGGATCCTGATTCTCTTCTGGATTCGGATCTCGTACTTTCTGGATGCTTGCAGAATACAGGTACTACTTCATAGCAAGTCTTCCTATTTTTACTAAATATAGGAGTTGTAATAATCAGATTTGAGTAACGTGTCGTGTCACCGGATCCTCGCTCTCGTATTCCGACTAGGTAAACTCGTGATAGTTCAAGTATATCAAGTTGACATGTTTACGTGCAGGCGTAACAAAAAGAATTTAATTATCTGATTTAAACAAAATTAAAAAAAAAAGAAGAAATAACAGAATTCATTCATCAATCAATCAATCATTGTTAGACCAGCATTAGAAACCCATAAGCACTGGATGGCCGTTTCGTCCTGGTATAGGACTACTACTCATCAGTGGCAGTGTGCACCCACCACTCCTGCACCTCACAGGGTTCGAACCCACGACCTTCGTTCAATCTTACACGCAAACACTTAACCTCTGTCTGGACCACCAGGCCGGCATGCAACGGTACTAATGTCTAACTTTGATCAATCTAAGGATTTTGCGTAACCTCACTCGTTTGTCTTTGGTAGTTACTGCCTAAATCTTCCACACGGTTGGACTCCACTGGTCACATCTTCACAACTGAAAGAATTTATTCAATCAAAGTAAATAAATTCAATTGAAGCATTCATTATAATTTGTGTAGAGAGATAGAGAGAGAGAGAAAAGAGAGATTGAAAAAGAACATACTATTACCTCATTTAATGATAATAAAACTTTTGTCATATACTCAAATTGACAATCATATGGTTGATAAGGAAAATCAATTTCGACATCATTAATTGTAATTTGTGGCATAATGCGTCTAAGATTTGATGATGATGATCAGCGTTTATTTCAATTCATTAAAGTAAATTTCATGAATTTCATTTAATTCAATTGAAGAATATTAATGTTTTATCAACGTTTGTTAAAAAGGGAAATTGTCTGACCTGTAAACAAAAAAATAAGAAACAATTCATTTTGATTACAATATGAATTTGGACACGAAAGCTTACAACTTTTATACTGCTGTCTATCATTAACACTTTAGAGAACTTGAATGACATGGCTTAAAACCGTTGGCGCAATGACGCCGGTGCATTTGTGTTCTTTATGTTCTCTCTTAAATCCTAATCTTCTGAATTGTTCAACACCTCTAGTTTTGATTTTCTAAACTTTTCTCATTGAATCATACTTCTTGAATAATAATATCTTCTAATCCTAACCTCACCGATTACTTCTAATACGTTTACTACCTCTTCTACTATTGGATTTGAATTGACAATTACATCTCTGTGCTAATGTGGTATGGCAACATGAACTGATGTACTTACGTACGAAGTTCTACGTTGCACCTGACTGACTGACTGACTGACTGACTATCATTAACACTAGGAAATGGCAAACAAAAATGAAGCCAGTACTCAATTCTTTCTTTGCGACAAAAGTTATTGAAAACAGTTGACCATTAAATATATGTATTATCCATACACATAACATTATTAGATATACAGCAGTCACTTTGTAGTGAACGAGAACACAGGTGAAGGCAACCAAATTGTATTTAACGAAAATTACAGAGTTACTCAGTAGAATATGGAAAACCATATCGTTAATCGTTCATTTGCAAAATATCAGTCCATCATATCGAACTGGACTGTTGTTCCTGTTACAAAACATCAATCCATTGTCACTATTCATGCGTTTGATACAAATTCCATTGTGTTCTAACTCTTCTTCCTTTCTCTTGATCTTCCCCCATCTTCTGCTGTTCCCAGACATTACGTTGACACTCATGTCATATACTACTTATAAGTAGCTCACACCACAACTTGACTGCGTTGTTCCTTTCTCGATATGATCAAAAGCAAGCATTCCTGTATCATAAAAAGAATTTGAGTTCAACTATGGATTCCAGTACTTTGTGTTGCTGAGTAAAGTACGGAGTTTTTCACAATGATTACTAAATATGAACTATGAAGGTAGAAAATATATCTATATAATATATAATTTTCATCCACAGAGATTTTTAAAGCACTGCTTATGTATAATAGAAACAAAAAGAATGTAGTGATGTAATTAAGTGCAAGGTACCAAGAATAATGCGGTAACTTGATTGATGAGACTATAAAATTTCAATTCAATAAAATAGCCTGTGACATATTTTTTACACGATTTACCTCCGTGAAACGCTTATAAGAATGGGAAATTAAAAGGAGGCTAAGAGATCACACTTAGTCTAAGATAAGAAGGCGATCCATAAAGATTCTCATGAGTAATTCTCCGAATAGACTAATTTAACTACAAAGTCATTAACACAATGCATTCAAGTCAACATTATTGACATATAAAGGGTACTTTACACGGTGTAACATATTTTCATTAAAAATAATAGAATCGATAAACATTTAGTCTCCACCGATCTTTCCTTTGAACGAATACTGAGCCCCTTTAGAATAGTAAGTCATAATTTACCACTAGTAATTATCTATGTTTCTTTCAAATTTCAAGTAATGTAGTATGAAATAAACTCCGCCAGTAGAACCTTAGGGGCTACTGCCGGTCCCAAGCCCGGATAAAGGAGGAGGGTTGGACATGGGGTTGGCGACCCCATTCCGTCAAAAACTAACTTGCCAAAAAAACGCTAACCAGAACAAATAATTCAAACCATTTTAACTCTGCCCTGGGAGTTGGAGGAAGAATTATGACGTCGCGTGATGAAAGCCGAGTTCCCTCGGAAGTCACGGGGCCGATGCCTCTTCTGACAACCAGAGCAACCATTTTTTTAGGTACATGGAACGTTCGTACATTGTGGGAGACTGGAAGACTATTTCAAGTTGCGGCAGAAATGAAACGATACAACCTCGAGGTGCTCGGCATCAGTGAAACGCATTGGACACAAGTAGGACAACTGAGACTAGCTTCAGGGGAACTGCTGTTATACTCTGGTCATGAAGAGGAAAACGCTTCACATACACAAGGACCAGCACTGATGCTGTCCAAACATGCACAAAAGGCACTGATAGGATGGGAATCTCATGGACCCAGGATCATTAAAGCATCCTTCAAAACGAAGAAAGAGGACATTACAATGAACGTCATCCAATGTTATGCACCTACCAATGACTACAATGACGACGTTAAAGATCAATTCTACGAAAGGCTCCAGTCAATCGTCGATAAATGTTCACCAAAGGATTTGACGATTCTTATGGGAGACCTGAATGCCAAGGTTGGAATGGACAACACTGGATATGAAGACATCATGGGACGACATGGACTGGGAGAAAGGAACGAAAACGGTGAGAGATTTGCAAACCTATGTGCCTTCAACAAACTGGTCATCGGTGGCACAATATTCCCGCACAAACGCATATACAAAGCTACATGGATTTCACCGGACCACACTACTCAAAACCAAATTGACCATATCTGTATCAACAAAAAGTTCAGAAGGACCATGGAGGATGTGAGAACCAAGAGAGGAGCTGATATAGCCTCAGATCACCATTTGCTGATCGCCAAAATGAGATTGAAGCTAAAGAAGCACTGGACAACGGGGCAGACAACATCACACAAGTTTAATACAGCCTTTCTTCGGGATACCGTAAAACTCAACGAATTCAAGATAGCCCTCACCAATAGGTTCCAGGCCTTTCAGGATCTACTCAATGGAGAGGAAGCAACATTGGAGAACAATTGGAAAGGGATTAAGGAGGCAATCACTTCAACATGTCAGGAGGTCCTTGGTCGCAAGAAGCACCATCACAAGGAATGGATCTCTGTTGATACTCTTGCAAAAATTGAAGAAAGGAGGAACAAGAAGGCAGCAGTGAATGTCAGCCGAACAAGAGCAGAGAAAGTTAAGGCGCAAGCCGAGTATACAGAAGCAAACAGGGAAGTGAAGAAGAGCATCAGAGCTGACAAACGAAAATATGTGGAAGATCTAGCAATGACGGCGGAAAACGCTGCAAGAGAAGGAAACTTGAGACAATTGTACGATACAACAAAGAAGCTCGCCGGGAACTATCGTAAACCAGAACGACCAGTGAAAAGCAAGGAAGGGAAAATAATCAGCAACACTGACGAACAGCGAATTAGGTGGGTGGGGCACTTTAAGGAACTATTGAATCGACCAGCTCCACTGAACCCACCCAACATCGAAGCAGCATCCACGGACCTCCCAATTAATATTGGCGCACCTACGATTGAGGAGATCAGTATAGCCATCAGACAAATCAAGATCGGCAAAGCAGCAGGACCAGACAACATTCCAGCAGAGGCAATCAAAGCAGGTGTGGAAGCAACTGCGAAAATATTTCACATTCTCTTTAAGAAGATTTGGGATGAGGAACAAGTACCATCAGATTGGAAAGAAGGATACCTCATCAAAATACCAAAGAAAGGCGATCTCAGCAAGTGTGAGAACTACAGAGGCATCACTCTTCTTTCAATACCAGGCAAAGTCTTCAACAGGGTATTGTTAAACAGAATGAAGGACTTCGTAGACGCCCAACTTCGAGATCAACAGGCCGGATTTCGTAAGGATCGATCGTGTACTGACCAAATTGCAACATTACGGATCATTGTGGAACAATCAATTGAATGGAACTCACCACTCTACATCAACTTCATCGACTACGAGAAAGCATTTGATAGCGTGGATAGGAAAACACTGTGGAGGCTTCTTCGACACTACGGTGTGCCTGAGAAAATAGTCAACATCATACGGAATTCTTATGATGGATTCAACTGCAAAATCGTGCACGGAGGTCAGCTGACAGACTCTTTTGAGGTGAAGACCGGTGTCAGGCAAGGTTGCTTACTCTCACCCTTTCTCTTTCTCCTGGTGATCGACTGGATTATGAAGACATCGAGATCTGGAGGGAAGCACGGTATCAACTGGACAGTTAGGACGCAGCTGGACGATCTGGACTTCGCAGATGACCTGGCTCTTCTATCGCACACTCAACAACAAATGCAAGAGAAGACGACCAGTGTAGCAGCAGCCTCTGCAGCAGTAGGTCTCAACATACATAAAGGAAAAAGCAAAATTCTCCGATGCAACACAACATGCACCAACCGAATCACGCTTGATGGAGATACCTTGGAGGACGTTAACACCTTCACATATCTTGGCAGCATCATCGACAATCAAGGTGGATCGGACGCAGATGTGAGGACGCGGATTGGCAAAGCGAGGGCTGCATTTCTACAGTTGAAAAATATCTGGAACACCAAACAAATATCAATGAACACTAAAATCAGTATTTTCAATACAAATGTCAAGACAGTTCTACTGTATGGAGCGGAAACATGGAGAACTACCAAAGCCATCATTCAGAAGATACAAGTGTTTATTAACAGCTGTCTACGCAAAATACTTCGTATTCGTTGGCCAGACACCATCAGCAACAACGAACTGTGGGAGAGAACAAGTCAGATTCCAGTGGAGGAGGAAATCCGAAAGAAGCGGTGGAAGTGGTGGATAGGACACACATTGCGGAAAGCACCTAACTGCATCACGAGACAAGCCCTCACATGGAACCCTCAAGGCAAAAGGAAAAGAGGAAGGCCAAGGAACACACACTAAGCCGAGAAATAGAGAAAGATATGAGAGGAATGAACAAACACTGGACAGAACTGGAAAGGAGGGAAGCCCAAGGGACAGAGTTGGTTGGAGAATGCTGCTGGTGGGCGGCCTATGCTCCATTGGGCTGTGTAACAGGCGTAAGTAAGTAAGTAAGTAAGTATGAAATAATTCAGATCTTATGATATGAAATATATTTATTAAAAGTAGAGGACAGTATTTAATC